TTTCCTTTTTTCTTTCTTTTTTTCTTCCTTCAGCGGCTTGTGCAACAGACGCTGGCTCTAGATGCAAAGCTGAAAAGCAGCCGTTTCAAGCCTTCCTGCGCCTCCTAGCTGCATGAACGATAGGGCGTCATGTCGGTTTCTCCTTCTGCCTGGCTGATATTTTTGCAACCAGGACAATAGGCAACGACGGCAGCAGAGGGCAAGTTTCGACTTCGGTCCTTGAAGTGGGCCCACGGCCCCAAGGTTGCATGTTTGGCGGTTCGTCCATCCGATCTTTTGAAAGAGAAGGAAGCTAGAAGCCCGGTGTTCTGTGCGGCGTGGCAATCCCGAATCTGTGGGCAGCGCTTCCCTGAAACTTCCAGAGTTTGCCGTGAGAGAACTTTTTTGATCTCTCGTTCATTCTCTGCCGTTGTAGATATTTCAGATTCTGGCCGGTCTCGCCAGAAAGGTAGATGCCTGGAAGCTCTTGCAGGGCGCGAGGCTGAATACCGCTGAGTTCTGTCAAAGGTCAGTTCGTTCGGCCTCCCTGCCAGGATGACTTGGTGAGAATTTGTTCCAGATGCTGCCACCGGCAATGCGACAGGTTAGAAGAAGGCCGCATGTCACCAACGACCGATGGTGATGGTCTTTCGCGGGGGTTTGTTAGTGTACCGGCTGGGTCTCGAATGGGCCTCTTTGCCAGGTCTTGGGGGTTCTTTCAGGCCGCCGGGGCGGCGGCGGCTAGGTAGGTTGATCTGCAAGGGAGATGTACTATGTACCAGGATACAAGACGGTTCCGCATGGGGACTCGGGATGTTAAGATGTCGTCCGTTGATGTTGCTGGTCGAAGTATGAACAAGTCGCAGCCATCTTCTCTGCAACAGCACACGATGCACCGCGAGGCAGCCTTTGGCTCAAATAACGGCTTAGGTCGGCGAGCTGACGCAACAGAAGGTGCGCACGGAGTTGTCCGTTCGTTTGGGAATGACGACGACAACGCACCAATACAAGAATGGAAGAGACGAGTGGGCGTTGGAGGCCGAGTGTCTCGAGTAACTAGCAAAGGAAATTGCTAGCTAGGCCGAGATGGAGGCACCGAACCCAGGCAAATGGGATTGCATTTCCTCCTGTAGTTAGCGGGTGGGATTAGCCCAGGCCACCTCCATTGTGTCACCTTGTCGATAGGTAGCTGCACGTACCAATCTCAGCAAGGCGGTGTTTGTGTGCTTCTAAAGGGGAATCCGGTGTGTAGCCGCAAGAGGCGAATGTCATTAAACGGTGCGAGCGGTCGGTGATTCGTGGCGCCAATCTCTGCACGTCCATTTCACCTATCTGGTGCTCTGGCGGTGGATTGACATGCGCAGATTGACATGTTGATAGGAGGGAGAGCAGTGGCCAACACAGAAGCAGAGGCGGGCACGGCACGTATCTGGCAGTCGCTGTGATGGTGGCTGTAGCTGGGAGTTGGGAGTTGGGTAGCAGAGCCGGCCATCAATCTTTGGCAACACCAGCATCAATATTAACAACAACAACAACAACAACAACAACAACAACAACAACAACAGCATCAAAGATGTCGTCGCTCTCCTCACCCCTGACGAACGTTCGGCTGCTGTCCTTGGCTGCTCCTGCCGACGGCGATAGCCCACTGTCAGCTCAAGGTACGTACCTCTAGATGGAGAGGTTAAGAGGTGGAGGTGGGAGGAAGGTGCGACTGTGGGGTGGGTGGATAATCCCGTCACCTAAGCGGAGTAGGTGCAGCGTGACGACCCTCTTTTCTCGGTGCAGCAGTCGCAGCAAGAGTGGCAGCGGTCAGCACCCTCCTTCATTGGCGTCAGCAGCAGGAGGAGCGATGGAACCCCTGCAGAATTCTCAAACACACTTCTGGCATTGCAGCAGGGCGGGACCAGTCATCGTCCCATCCCACACACTTGCATCTTCTTCTGTCGGCTCCTCTCTTGTGGACAAATTTCTTTCTGGTCACGACACTCGGGCAAGACGTTTTTCTGGAAGTTTGGGACAAAGCACAGACAACCGTACCAGCAAAACTGTTATCTGACCAACAAACCCCCGAGGCACGCATGCATTTTCGACGCGGCATTAGACGGGACTCTCAACATCATCGCCCTCACTCTCTGGCTCGCTCGATACGGTCCGAGGTACCCTGCTCCCGACGCAAGAAGTTCGGTTCCGACTCATCGCTTGAGAAGGCGACATGTTGGCCAGCTCTGGCGGACGTTACACGGCCTACATGTCCCTTTCCAAGACACCGCAAGAGACATGTGCGGTAGAAAGACATGTCTGTCGCCCCAATTCCGCATTTTCGAGCGACTTACGTGAAGTTGTCAAACCATTGCTCATGCTTGGAACCATGTTTCGCGTGTGACCGCCTGGGTTGCCAAAGGAACCGCCCTGCCGCCGTTATGGGCTCGACGGCTTTCTTTCCATGAGATGGGCATTTGCTATGTCTTCTCCTGCCTTGGCAAAATGGAGAGGAACGCTAGCCATCACCAGCAATTGTACGAGGCTCGCGCTGCCCACGAACGTCGTTGCCCGTTGCCTGTTGGGCAGCAGTCAGAAGGCACTCATCATCACTGCCAGTTCTCTAGGGTCGCTACGCCCGCTGGCGGCCTCAGCGATGCTCCTTCAGGCTTCATTAGCCAGCTGCCTCGTCTTTGTAGGTATCCTACGTGCCTACCCTACCTACTCTGAACAGCCATGTACACTAGGTAGGTGCACTAGGTACTACCCCGGTACGTACCAGGCGTCGTCGTTTCTGCCCACATCGCCTGAAGCCAGGAACCGCTCCGCATCGCACGCACGAGGCAAGGGGCTTCCTCCCCACCTTCCTTCTCATCCCTGTCCGGAGTGCCCTTCCACGTCCCCCCTCCATCACACACGCGCCTTCTCACTCATTCAATCATCCGTGTCGCTCACCCATCCACTCCTGCTATCACTCAACTCATTCCACGTCTCCTCTCTCCTCCTCAGCTGCTTGCTTCATTTGCCATCCGCCTCGATGTTCCCACACCCAACGCGACTTCGCGCCTGGTCGGAGTCGGGCCTGGATAGCAAACACTCACCACCTTTCTAAGATACGTACCGACCGATGTGACCTGCATAAGTTTTCCAAACCCCGGCCAGGGACTCCCGTCCTCGTCGTCCTGGATCAGGTTCATCATGCTTCCCCATTAAGCCTTCACACCCTTGGATCCCCTCCATCATCCATCCACTTTGCTCCTCCAACCTTCATACTCCAATAATGCCAATCCCACCAATTTGTGCAACATTTCCACTGTACCAGCTCGGGCCTGTCTCTGCCCACATATCTGCCTCTGTCTCTTTCTGGCTTCGCACCTACTGCACAGGAAGGCAAGGTACATGCGAGAACCCTCCCGTCGTGCCCTGAAAGTGGGTGTCTGATCGCTCGCAGCCTGTGCCTTGTGCCTGTCCATCTGCTGGTCCTAATTGATCCCATCCCTTTTATTCCCGGCCTATCCATTCGTACCTAGATTTCTGTGCGTCTGCATTACTACCGTCTGGTCGTTCGGGCTATACAGACTTGCCCCCCCCCCCCCCCCCCCCCCCCCCCCCCCCCCCCCCCCCCCCCCCCCCCCCCCCCCCAAGTCGCACTTGTTGTACTTCTTTCTTGTCCTTCCTCTCGCACGTTCTGAACCGCCGCCCTACGCAGTCCTACCTCGTTGTAGGCACCTCCCCCTCCTTTCCTTTTGAGTCGGCGGCCTATCTCTCTACTTGGGGCCCACCTTACCCCAGAAGACCCCCGTCCTCATTCCACACACAGCCAGCGCACATTCAACACTCCCTCTCTCTCTCTCGCTCTCTCGCTTTCACGCGCACGCACACACTCTCTCGCTTTCACGCGCACGCACACACTCTCTCGCTCTCCAATCGGCTCCGTTCTGCTGTTTTTAATCATATCCTCTCCCTTGTTTTTGCTTCTTGAAAACGCCAGACAGACAGACACAACTTGCCAGCCGTCAGCATCGCCCCCTCATACAGTCTCAAGGGAGTCTCCTCCTTCTGCATGCCAACCCGACCCCCGAAAGAGGGCTCTCACCACCACCCAACGGACCCCAAAGCAGCGCAAGTCCCCGGTTATCTGACTGGATCTGGAACCTCGCCGCGCTCCTAGGCTCGATTTTAATTTGATCACCACCGCCCACACATTTGCGGCCGCGCCTGTCAAAGCTAAAACAGCGCCCTTATTTCTCTTGCCGCCCTATCACATCCATCAAAAGTAATATCCTTCGGTCTGCCCCCCCCAACGAAGCTTCCGCTCGAAACACCACAAAAAACCAACCTCACATTCTCGAAGTCTGCCATCTTGGGCTCTCGCTTTTTTTTTTCTCTCTCTCTCTCTCTCTCACCCTGAGACCGACTCATCCACATCTGCAGGCTTCCTTTTGGGTGCGCATCAATCAGTGTTTCGTGGCGTTCGCTGGACGACTACCAATTGTGCCCGTACACATACAACACAACGCACTCGTAGCAGTCGTTCACACTCTAACCGAACCAGTTCCCGCACGACACCCACGACTCGCTTCGACTCGCCTCTCTCGTTCGTCGCAGTTCTTCCCCCCCCCTTCCCATTCTGCCACCCCCCCCCCCCCATTTCCCCTCGCAGCCACGCCGTGCGAACCGCTCTCCTTTCTCTCGTGTCGCAACGACTCTGTAACAACAACTCCAGTTTTTGGATCCCGATCGGATTTCCCTCCCTCAATTCACGCTGGATCCCAACGAGTCGCCTTGCCAGTCACCTCAGACACAGTTGCACCGCATCTCGACCATCCAGCCGTAGACCGATTCACCAGCTCCTATCGTCGTAACCTCGCAGGCGGCATCGAGACCCCCTTAACCATAGGGGCTCGCTTGGGCGACCTGCCTCCTTCGCAAATTCCTCCTTGCAGACGATCCTCAACATGTCCGTTATGTTGCAAACGCCTTCTCGAGCTTCGACCGCTTCGTCCTCCTCCTTCCAACCGCTTTCCCGCCAAAACACAATGTCCTCTTACGATGGATCGCGGTCCGCCCGCCAATCGAAGCGGTACTCCATGTCCGCGTTGTACATGTCCATGTCAGCGAACGAGACTGACCTTGAGATTGAGGATGACCTGGCCAAAGGTATGCAGAACAGCCCTTGCAATAATTTGGCTATCAACCGCTAACCCTTTGTTCCATAGCCCAGAAAATCCTTCGCGAGTTGAAGTCCAAGATCTCCTCGCAATCGAAAAAGAACTTCGTCCTCGAGAAAGACGTGCGATATCTCGATTCCCGAATTGCTCTTCTCATTCAGAACCGAATGGCGTTGGAGGAACAGAACGAGGTCGCTAGTCACCTTGAAGACGCCACCGATATGCAGGAGGGTGCGTTTCCTAACGACGACAAGACGCAAAAGTACGGCAATCTGATGTTCCTGCTGCAATCCGAGCCAAGACACATTGCGCACTTGTGCCGATTGGTGTCCATGTCGGAGATCGACTCTCTGCTGCAGACTGTTATGTTCACCATCTATGGAAACCAGTACGAGAGTCGCGAAGAGCATCTGCTCTTGACCATGTTCCAGGTTTGTCGCACAAGCCATCGCACAAGAACCCATGCTAATCTGTATCAATAGTCTGTTCTCACATACCAGTTCGATAACACCCCCGAATACTCGTCGCTTCTGCGCGCAAACACCCCAGTGTCGCGAATGATGACGACCTACACACGCAGAGGACCGGGTCAAAGTTTCCTCAAGTCAGTCCTGGCTGATAGAATCAACAGCCTGATTGAGTTGAAGGATCTCGATCTGGAGATTAACCCTCTTAAGGTTTACGAGCGCATGATTGAGCAGATCGAGGAGGATACCGGCACACTGCCAGCTTCGCTGCCCAAGGGCATCACCGCTGAGCAGGCGGCCGAGAACCCGCAGGTCCAGGCCATCATTGAGCCGCGCCTGACGATGCTCACCGAGATTGCTAACGGCTTCTTGACGACCATCATTGACGGCCTCGAGGAGGCTCCCTACGGCATTCGGTGGATTTGCAAACAGATCCGCAGCTTGACGAAGCGCAAGTACCCTGATGCTAATGACCAGGTTATTTGTACTCTGATCGGCGGCTTCTTCTTCCTGCGATTCATCAACCCTGCCATCGTGACACCAAAGTCGTACATGCTCATCGACGGTCAGCCGGCCGAGCGACCGAGAAGAACACTGACATTGATTGCGAAAATGCTGCAAAACTTGGCCAACAAGCCCTCGTACGCCAAGGAGCCGTACATGGCTAAGCTGCAGCCATTCATTCACCAAAACAAGGAGCGCATCAACAAGTTCATGATCGACCTGTGCGAAGTTGGAGATTTCTACGAGAGCTTAGAGATGGACAACTATGTCGCTCTCTCGAAGAAGGACTTGGAGTTGTCCATTACGTTGAACGAAATCTACGCCATGCATGCACTGATCGAGAAGCACAACGGAGAGCTTTGCAAGGACGATAACTCACACCTGGGGATCATCATGTCGGAACTCGGAGGTGCACCCGCGCAGGTTCCCCGCAAAGAGAATCGCGTTATCAATCTTCCCCTCTTCAGCAGGTGGGAGACGGCAATCGACGACCTGACTGCGGCACTCGACATCACGCAAGAGGAAGTGTACTTTATGGAAGCCAAGTCCGTCTTTGTGCAAATTATGCGGTCGATTCCCTCCAACAGCAGTGTTGCGCGACGACCTTTGCGGCTGGAGAGAGTCGCTGACGCGGCGGCTACAAGCCGAAACGACGCAGTCATGGTTCGCAAGGGTATCAGGGCCATGGAGTTGTTGTCGCAACTGCAGGAACTGAAGGTCATCGATAAGAGCGATCAGTTCGGCTTGCTGCGTGACGAGGTTGAGCAGGAACTGCAACATCTTGGATCTCTCAAGGACGGTGTCATTCAGGAGACGAGCAAGTTGGAGGAGGTCTATAAAACCATCCGCGACCATAACACATACCTCGTGGGCCAACTGGAGACGTACAAGAGCTATCTCCACAACGTGCGGTCCCAGAGTGAAGGGACGAAGCGAAAGCAGCAGAAGCAGCAGGTCCTTGGGCCATACAAGTTCACCCACCAGCAACTGGAAAAGGAGGGGGTTATCCAGAAGAGCAACGTCCCAGATAACCGGAGGGCCAACATCTACTTTAACTTCACGAGCCCCCTGCCGGGAACCTTTGTTATTTCTCTCCACTACAAGGGTAAGTCGACGCGATAATTCGCTGCAAACAAATCGTGCTGACTATGACGCAGGACGGAACCGCGGTCTCCTCGAGTTGGACCTCAAGCTTGACGACTTGCTTGAAATGCAGAAGGACGGTCAAGACGACTTGGACCTCGAATACGTCCAGTTCAACGTCACCAAGGTCCTCACTCTGTTGAACAAGCGATTCGCAAGAAAGAAGGGTTGGTAAACGCCAACAAACGGTCTCCCAACTTTCGACTGTATAACTTTTCCACCCGGAGATACCCTCGACTGGCTTTTTCATGGAATTAGGCGTTCTCGGCATCTCTTTGAAACCTGATACCACGACGTTTTCGTCTTCGTCTTCGTCGTCGCACCGCCCTCGACTTCCCGCACCAGCATTTGTACACACTGATGCTTCTTTACTCGCTCTTATGAATGTCCCCTCGCCACGGCTGCCCTTAAATTCACTTCTCAACGATCTCGCTCAGGAACCATACGCACACCGGCGTTTTACACCTGGTCTCTTTTGCATTCGCCTGGGTCTTTCTTGCGCACTTGCGTGTCAAAGCGACAAAATCTGGACTAAGTCACGTATACGATTACAACCGTGGATACGGGAGCTTGATTTTGTTTTTCCCCTTGCGTCTTTTTTCGTCTTGCACTTACAGGCGAATCAATGGCGCGGCTTGGAGGCTTTCTCGATATACCTGCTACGTTATTTTAATTGCCCTCGTGCGGCCGAAGCCGAGAGGTTCACATTGTGCTTCTAGTTGCAGGTTTTGTTTTGTTTTGCAGTCTTTTTTTGGTCCACGTCTTGATGCGCGGTGACTGCGCGGGTGTGTTCGGCTGGTCCGGCGGCTTTAGTGTGTGTCCTCATTTTCGTTTTACTTGATGTCTGAACGATACGGTAGAAAAGAGGGACGAGAAGAAATGGAATGACGTGGATGATTCTCATCTTTTGACGCTTGCCCCCTCCCCCCTTTATTTTGTGATGTCACTATCATATTCTTGGTCTTTGGCTTGCGACTATCTGCTTGTTAGCGATGAACTTCTTGGACAGAAACCATGCCTGAAATCTGGCTTCCGCCTCATTGCCAGATAAGGCGTTAAACTTTATCCGGTGGTGTGTTGATGGACATGCTATTTAGAGAAGCAAATAAGAAAAGTCTGGACTGCTCGTCAACCTGTGTCCCATCCGATATCCAGCGCAGGGGAGAGATGACGTGAGACACCCACAGCCTGCCACGTTGCTGATGGTGTGCTCCTGGTGCGTGTGTTTCAGAGTTGGTGGTTGCAAGACGACGGCGAAAGTATGTTGGTTGGCACATAGTACTTGGGTTTTTGGAGTGGGTGTGGACGGGTGGGCGGGTGCAAGTGAGGCCAGTTGTGTGTTAGTGTGTGGAGGGTTGAGGGTTGATTGCAGGAAAGAGAGATGGCAGAGGGGGGGGGGGGGGGGGGGGGGCATAAGGCAAAGAGAGGGAAGGGTTGCTGGTAGACGGGAAGTGTTGACAACAACCATAGCTGGGTGATGTCGTTATCGCCCCTCTCGTTTGCTGTGGTGCTAGGCAGTCGGTGGAAGTAATAGAGTTCGTGATTGAATTTAGCCTTAATCGGGGTTTAATGTCCTGGTGCGGCGGCGGGGGTTGGTTTGTCGGCTGATAAGACAAAGGCAATCACCCGTGGGAAACCTGACGAAATGGTTTATTACGTCGTCGTGGAGGGTTGCGTGTTGTGGATCAGGTCGAAGTTTGAGACGTCTACGGGTATAGACATCAGAGACCACAAGTAGGTTTAGGCAGGGACGATGATGCACATAGTATCTGCAGTGTTTGAACTGTACCGAGATGAACGCATGCTTACTCTCGAGGTAGTCGACCAGGAGTTGGAATAGGGTGGTAGGTTGACGAAGCCCAGAAGGGAGAGATGTTGACTTGGAACGGGAAAAGTTCCTATCAGATATTTGCAAAACTATTTCAGGAGTATTCTGATAATCGTTTGACTGCGTCCGGTGCCTTTTGTACAACAACTCCTCTTTTGCCCCGGACCGCACGATAAGGCAACAGTCCTGGGTACGTTCAAACCGGATGCGCTGTCCCGAGCAAACCGAGAGAAGAGGGAAACACAACTGTCAATGGAAAGCATACCCTTCTCCACAAGGCGTTCATCCACTTGCGCCCTTCAACTTTTCGACAAACCCATCCGAGCGTACCTCTTTGCGATAGAGTTCTCTGCTTGACGAAGTAGATGAAGGTTCCGTCTATTTCTGTTGGGACTTGGGAATACAGTGTGAGCGCAAGAGCCTTATCGCGGTGATTTATCCTGATCTCCTCGAGTTTGTCTCTTGTCTCCCGCAGTGTATTCGCGCATGGGGGCAAGGTTCTCGAATATCACGGAATTGGGATCTGATCTCTGCAGATTTCATGCCCTGGCATTGGTACATGTTGATGCTTGACCGAAACAGCGTATGTTTTTCCTCGGACTGGACGTTGTGTCTGTGATCAACAAGCACGAAGGAATCGATACGGTTCATTATCTGGTCCTCCACAGGTAAGCCACTGCCTTTAGGTTCTCCGTGTACATTCAAGCAAATGCAAGCCCTTTCTTTCCAAGCATAGACAGGGTCCGATTCTGCGTTGGCTTTTGTATAAATGTAACAGCCTGGAAGGTCAAAGTGGAGAGCACCTTTGTAGTCCTGAACCAAGCCATTGAAATAGAAGACTTCACTTTGGGCCATCAGATGTCTGTTGTGGCTATACGTTATCCATTATAAGCAGACTTTGTTTGCCAAAGTAAAGACTGGGGGGTATTTCAGAAGCACAAAACGCACTATATCAAACCAGGTATTAAACATGACCAAACACCATGGTCTCACCGTCCTTGCCCATTCCTCCCCTGCCTCCCTTCGTGCTGCCTTTGCTTAGCCACCACGGTCTCCAATTAGACCACGAATCCAGTCCCAATTCCTTATTCTGCTGATATTTCTCTTCACCCGGCGGCTGCGGCTGCGGCGGTTTCCGGCTTGTAAGCCGCCTCTTCCTCCTTGGCCTTACCTCTGCCGCAGGTATAGCAACCGCCGGCGGGAGCTTGTCCCCGCTCCCGTCATTCATAAACCAGCGAAACGGCCACGTGAGGGCGGCAAAGGTGTGCCTCGCGAGCGAGTACCCCGCGCGCGTCTGCAGAAGGATGAGGGCCAGGATGAAGGGCACGCAGACGCAGACCATGGTCACTGGGAACCGCCAGTCTTGCGCAGGGATTGTGAACTCTGTCATGCCAAAGACGGACTGTGACGTTTACGTTAGATTCTGCAAAAACCAGAAAAGGGGCGAAAAGAGGTCGACTTACAGTCACAAACGTCAGGGGGAGAAACACCATGGACCCCAAAGTCAACACCTTGATGTTATCGCCCTGCTCAATCGCCCTCCTCGACTCCTTGATCGAGCTCCCGCTGAAGAGCTGGTCCCTCAGGTTCTCAATCTCCTTGCGCGTCGCGGCGTTCTTGGCATGTACAGTCTCCAGATCCCGGCACGCCCTCTCCAGGTCCGACCGCAGCGGCGCCATCTTGTCCCGGTATGCCTTCCCCTCGGGGCTATCCGGCGACGGGTGCGGCCACAGCGTCTGGTGCTTGCCCTCCCAGAAGTCGTCGGGGAAAGTGTCGCGGTACGCCGCGAGCATGGCGCGCAGGCCCTCGTTGACGACGCCCAGCGTGTTGTAGGCCCAGAAGTACCGCCGGATGTAGGTGAAGTGCTTGTCCTCGAAGAGCAGCTTGTCGCGCAGGCGAGCGTCGAACATGAAATCCGTGGGCGGCGTGATGAGCTTGGCGATGCGGGCGTGGAGGGCGAGGTTCCGCTTCGTCGCGTCGCGGTACTCCGTCACCAGGGCGTCGAGGAACGCATACGGCCCGGAAGGAAAGTTCTTGCGCGCCTCGGCGTCGCCGCCGCGGAGAGTGTGCTCGTCGTCCGGGAAGGACTGGATCGAGAGCAGGTGCCACGGCGCAAAGGTGTCGAAGAGGAATCCTTCTTGCGGGCCCTCGCGGCGGCGGGTCTGTTTTACGGATTGGCGCGGGGCCCCTGAGAGCGAGAGGGCGAGGATGGAGCTGCACTCTGAGATGTCGATGTGGTCCCGCGACCGGCGGTCTGGAGGGCGCTTGTCGTACTTCTGGTAGGGGGCGGGCTCGAGGCCGTCGCCGACGACGGTGTAGTACTTGAAGACGAAGAAGAAGCTGCGTTGGCGCAGGTGCGAGGGGGAGGGGTCGCGGGCGAAGGCGCGGTGGACGTGGGCGGTCGTCTTGCCGTTGTTCTCGTGGTCTGTGATGAAGTGGTTGAAGAGCTCCGTCATGTCGAAATAGGGGGCCATGGTCATGTGCAGGGCGCCGAGCATGAGGGCCGAAGGCTCCTGAAGGATCGTCACGAGACCGACGGCTTGGCCGTCTGCGTGGATGCCCTTGAGGGCGTTCCATACTGTCGGCGCGTCGACGATCTGGCTCGGAGATGGGACAATGTCGGACGCAGCGCCTCGGGGCTGACGGTCTAGTTGCTTGCCTACGGGACGAGGGATACCTTCCTTGCCAACATCATATAGTTCAAACGTCGAGCTGACGTATCCCTGGCTTTCATAGGCGGCAAAAGTCTCAAAGTCTGCGTTCTCGTCAATCTCGCCCTGTCGCTTGATCACATCTGCCAGGCCAATAGCGGCGCCACCAGTGAAGTCGAAGTACTTGAGATGACTGAGAAGCTGGTTGTCAGTCCAAGATACTCGTTCGATGAGCTTCGAGACGGATGGAGTGAGACTCCCGTCAGAGCTAGTCGCGCCGCGGGGACTGTGATGTCCAGCAAGGGGAGATACTCGACGTCGAGTTCCGAGTGAATCGAGGCCGGAACATGTGATGTCTCGGCATCGTTGGGTAAATGTCGCTTCTCGATCGATTCAGTGAGAGTTGAGCGACGGTCACGACGGGCGGCCGACGGGAATGTCGCCTCGGATGAGAATACCGGGCTCTGGACAGGACTCTGATAGGGACTGTGAGAGGGCCGGCGTAACGGCGATAACGTGTGGCTAGTTGCTCGGTGCTCTGATCTTTCCCTCACAGCGCTGGCTAGAGACTCGTGAAGGCTTCGTAGGCTGCGGAGGTATTGCTCGTGGCTTGCCTCGACGGCCCTGAGAAGCTCTTCGGGAGTCTGGGTTGACATGATGAGCGGTCTTCAAAAGGGTCTTCTCAGAAGGGGGTCGAGTTCGTCAATGGCAATGAGTTGAATTTGGCCGAGGAAGGTGAATGAAGAGACATGAAAGAATAGGGCAGCCCGTCTCTTGGACAGCAGGCCTTTTCTAATAATCATTTGCACAGCCTACAATACGTCCAACGAGGCGACCGGATGCAAGAGGCATCCATGCCGCTAGGCAGCTTTGATGCCTCATCCCTCCCTCCGGAAGATCAACTTTGAATGCGGCTGACCCCGCGGAATCGGAGCCCTCGATCCGGGTATGGGGGTCCTCCGTGGAAGATAGTGATGAGCGAGAATTACAAACGCCTACTGGGTTCGATAGCTAGCTGACAATGGAATGACTCCTCGGCCACATGGAGAGATGCGATGATCGGCCAACGACACCGAAATCAAGCTTTCGGTCACTGGGCCGGGGTGGCGGGCACGGGTGCATTCCCCGTACGCACATTTGCACGCCCGAATGTAGGGTGTGACGCAGGGCGGCGGAGTGGAAGCACGAACGATGCAAAAGGGGGGGGGGGGGAAGACGTGCAGATTTGTGACGCGCGGGGTTAGAACCAAGGTTGAGAGGGATGAGATGGGAGATAAGGGGGTCGGGGTCGCAGTCGGCCGGCGATCACCACCAAAGAAAAAATAAGGCTATCGCGCATGTGTCGCCGGTCACCGGGGCGGCTTTTCGCGGCTCAGGACTTGTGATGGTCGAGATGGCTGCCTCGGCAGTCGTGATGACGCTGCGCTGCGACCGAATCGCGCACTTTTGGGAGACTTCACGTTGTGCGGTTTGTCGGAGCCAAGAAAATAGAGGGGGAGGGGCATTTGGTTGCTAGTATTGGGGTACCTAGCTAGTGCAGGGAGTCCGTCAACCGTTTGTTTGAAAAATGTCTCAATCCCACGATGCAAACGAACGCGCTAGATCATGCCGCATTGCTTCGTCGCATGGAGCTTGGTGGCGCGCTTCTCCTCACCGAGCAGCGCTTTGAGTCAAGGCTCGAATCCTTGGAATATCTAGCGTGCTTGCCATCACATTTGACAGTTAAGGCGAGAGAACCCGTGTCCACAGAGGAAGTCATTTGCATCTAATTACTGTGACCGTGGCCCTCGGGGGCATTTGATCCTCTCCGGCCACTTCGTCTATACTCAATGGCTTGAATACCTTATGCAATCATCATCCAGGTCGTATTCTTCGTGTAAACCGCCATCCTGCGCATATTCTAGTGGAATAATCTCTGAGGTCGGCAAAACAATGGGGTATGGGTAAAAGCGTCAAAACAACTGTTCAAAGGCGCAACCTAGTGGGTAGCGACCTCTGTGGCCTTACTGGATGAGGCGGCAGGCTTGTCACCCGACGCGTCGACGTCCATGGCGTCGTCATCGGCAGCCTCGCCCTCGCCCTCCTCCTCCAGCTCGTCCTCGCTCTCGCCCTCGATATCGACGCTTCCGTCGTCCGACATTTCATCCTCCTCGGCCGGGGCAGCCTCGCCCTCGCCGTTCTCAACGCCAGCCATCTCGGCATCCTCGCCGGCGGGTTTCTCGCCGTTGGCACCACCATCGAGCGCGCCATCAGCCTCCTCCTCCTCGCGCTCCTCAGCGCCGTACTCGTCCTCGTCGGCGACAAGGTCAGCCTCGGGCTGCTCAGGGGGAACTCGGCGGGGCGGAAGCCTCGTTGTCCCTATCGGCATTGGTTAGCTCCACTGATGTTTCGTGTTTTCCTCCCCAGCACTGTTGACAACATACCACTTGATGGCAAAACGAGTCACACGCGGCTTCTCGGCAAGGACGTTGCGCTTGACGCGCTCGATGATGGGCTTGGAGGGAGGCTCCGCGTTGAGCTCCTCCGAGTCGTATTCGTTGTTGACATAGTAGCCGACGCGGACAAACTCGCGACCATCGTAGGCGCAGGTCAGAAGGATAACAGTGACACCGAGAATGTCGGCGTCGGGGATTCTGGAGGTGTTGGGCGCATCGGCCTCGAAAATGAACTTATTGACGCCGACGGGGACGGGTCCAACCAGAAGGCTATCAAGTTCCTGGTCATACTGATCACTGTTTCGTGGAAGTCAGCGAATGGCGGTGTATGTGAAAAATCCACTCCAACTGACCTGGTAGCCGAGCCAACGTAGGTCAACTTCCACTCGAGGTCTAAGAGAAAAAGTGTCAGTCGAAAAAAACATCGAGTCAGGCCGTTGAAAGAGAGCGTCGCATACCCTTCTCCAAGGACTCGAGGCACTCAAAGGTAATCTCGAACTCGTACTTGTCCGTGAACTTGGCGGGGTTGTTCAGAACCTGAACACCTAAGAGCGAGACGATCGACATCGTGAAGTGTAGGCGGCGGCGACCTTGATCGGATTGCGAAAGGGAATGGAAGAGTAGTAAAAAAGTCGCGTAGACCTGAACAGTGGGAGAAGTGGGATGAGAGTCGTGTGGGTAGAGTTCGGCCGAGACGGTGGATTTATGTTGTGTTTTGGGGAGGTGGAATTGTTTTGCGGCGGGCAGAGATGAAAGAAGATGGCTCCAGTGTCGGCTCGTCAGTTGCGACGGGACAACGACGTGGGACGTGGAACGCGACTGCAGCCTCCTAACCGCGAATTTCGCGTAAAGTGAAATCCACTTCTGTGCGCTAGCCTTTTCGGGCTGTCGCGCATGTCTTTCAAGGTCCCAGCCACACCTGCCCAGTCGCTGTCACTCATATCTGCCATTTATTTACCTTGAATTTTCCCACTGAACACCTTCAGGATGGAACATTGAAGCTCACAATAGGCGAGCGATCAGGCTTGAAGTTCACAGATCTGAGGTTTTGTACTCTTCTATCTGTCTTGCATGGCGATCTCCGAGCATCTCAGTAAGTAAAGGAACATTGAATACATTGACAATTGAATAGGGACCCCTTACAAGCCACAGCCTTGGCTGGGTCCCTGGTCTAGAGCTCATTTCGCAGCTGCTGATGATTGAGATGGATGCGCAGTTGATTTACACAACCAATCAATACGCTTAAGACGTCTCATGGTGGAGAGCTTCCGCAGAATATGGACAATCCAGGACCGTGTTCTTTGAATGTCCTCTGTGCCTACTGCATAAATGCTGCTTGGAGACTTTTGAAATGCCGCCCCAATTGAAGATAAGATTAGCCTATCTTATCGAGATCTCCACTTTTAAGCAGCCGGGATTTATCCAGGTGACCGCCAGACCACGCTAGCCTGATTTCGGTGCTTGCTCATCCTCCAATCTTTCACTCTGCCAACTTTCAGCCTTTTCGTTTTGCGTCCAGTTGCTCTCGTCCTCCTCAGCATCGCCAGCTTCGCTGCCCCCCCCCAGCCATCCACGCCAATCGAGCGCAGAGACTCAGCCAATCCTTCCGTCGAATACTTTCTTTGCGATCGTCCACCGTCGATTCGGGAGCCGATTTACGCTTTGTGCCCCAGAACCAACAGCGCATTTGCGCTCTGGGCGACCCGTCAGCTCATAGCTTCCTCGACTAGTGCCGCTTCACGAAGTCCATTGGAATTTGAATCGGTCGACCGAAAACACTCTTGTGCTCATTAAGCTACGTTGCGACACGCTCTTTGCCAACGCAATGGATTCCGAACTCCCGCAGAACGACCAACACTTCGAGGGTGCGTCTTGGGGAGAAGAGGGATATGAAGAAGCAGATGATATACAGCATAGCGACCAACAAAGTCAAGATCCTGCCTTCCCACTTGCCCAAGCTGCGAATGGTGACTCAGAAGATGCTGGCGAATATGACCCAGAGTCGGTCACGATAACCTCAGTTCCAGAGACCGCGGAGTCTAAGCCCCCCACCGATTCTACCCCTACCCCTACTCCCACCACGTCCGCGTCCGCGAAGCCGAAATCCGGCAAGCCCAAAACACAGGGTGGCTTCCTAGTGGGAGACTCTGACGATGAGGAGGATGCGCCCACTCCGGCTTCCGCCACCGCTGTTGCTGCAGGAGCCGCGCAACCCCCCATTACACAGAACCACCCTCCCCTCCCTGTATCTACTCCAGTTCAGAGCCAAGTGGGCGCCACTCCAGAACAGCCGAACAACGGGACTGCCGTGAGAGCGCCCAGTGCAGCATCCAGTGCAGCGCATGCGCCACCCCCTCCGACTGTGCAGCCTGTTCCTAGCAGAGACCCCAATGACACCTTCGGAATTCTTGAGGATCGTGTGAAGGAGGACCCGCGAGGCGACATGGAGGCCTGGCTAGCGCTGATTGCTGAACACCGTCGCTACGATCAGTTGGACGAGCTGCGTGTAGTGTACGAGCGCTTCGTCGAGGTCTTCCCTCAGGCCGTAAGTCCAATGTTTCTGGCGATTTGCAAGATCTACCGCTGACATACCGACAGGCAGATATTTGGGCAGATTGGGCGCAGCTTGAGCTGAGCTCCAACCGTTTCCAGGACGCCGAAGCGCTCTTTAATCGATCCCTGGTCAACGTACCGAACGTCAAGCTCTGGACCGTATACCTCAACTACATCCGCAGAAGATATGACCTCACCAATGACCCTAACGGCGAGGCTCGCCGAATCCTCAGCATGTCGTACGACTTCGTCATTGGCTCCGTCGGCATCGATCGAGACTCAGGGCAATTGTGGAAGGACTACATCCAGTTCATCAAGAGCGGCCCAGGCCAGGTTGGAGGCAGCGGTTGGCAGGATCAGCAGAAGATGGATCAGCTGCGCAAGGCTTACCACCGCGCAATCACAGTTCCCATGTCCGCACTCACAGACTTGTGGAAGGATTATGATCAGTTCGAGATGAGCCTCAATAAGACAACTGTAAGTCCCGCCTTGACGTGGCTGGAAGATGGATGCTAACTGCCAACAGGGTCGCCAGTTCATCCAGAAGCGCTCGCCAGCATACATGACAGCCAAGGCGGCGAACTCTCAGCTCGACCGCCTGATTCCTAGACTTCAGCGGACGTCTCTTCCACGACTCCCTCCTGCTCCTGGCTTTGATGGTGATCAGGAGTTCATGGAGCAAGTCGAGATCTGGAAGAAATGGATTCAATGGGAGAAGGATGACCCGTTGGTTCTTCTTGACGAAGAACCCGAGGCGTACAAAGCCCGTATTCTGTACTGCTACAGGCAGGCTTTGATGGCCCTTCGGTTCTGGCCCGAGATGTGGGTTGATGCCGCGGAGTGGTGCTTCGCTAATAATATCACCAAGGACGGCAAGGAGCTGGGCCTTTCTTTCCTGACTGAAGGCATCGAGGCCAACCCCGAGAGTGTCTTGTTGTCGTTGAAGCACGGAGATCGCGTGGAGATGACTTACCCCGCTGGAGATGACGAAGCGAGTAAGACTGCCCGCGCAAAGGCAATTCGTGAACCTTACAGCCGTGTCCTCGACACGTTGTATGCCATGTCCAAGAAGATCAAGGAGCGAGAGGAGCGAGAGGTTCGCAAGATTGAGGAGGCTGCTGCGCGTGATCCGAATGTTAAGGATTCTATCGAAAACAACGATGATGAACCCGATGGCGATAATCATAGACCAGCTGACCTTGGAAAGGAGGAGCGTATCAAGGCTGTCAAACATGGCTTTTCGGTACAGTCGGACATGCTCAAGCGCACTATCTCGTTTGTGTGGATTGCGCTTTGCCGAGCGGCGCGGAGGACACAAGGCAAGGGAAACACGAACTCGGGCCTCAGACAGGTATTTATCGAGGCTCGTGGTCGGGGTCAGCTTACTAGTGATGTTTACATTGCTGTTGCCAAGATGGAAGCCCTCATCTACAACGACCCTGCCGGTGGCAAGATCTTCGATCGTGGTGCCAAGCTATTCCCTGAGGATGCCAGCTTCATGCTGGAGTATCTTAAGTTCTTGCACTCGAAGGGTGACACTACCAGTAAGTCTCGATCTCCCGTTGTTTTCTTTGCCTGGTGCTAATTCTCCCTCAGACGCTCGCGTGGTATTTGAGACCTGCGTCAACCGTCTCACACAAAAGGACGACAAGAAGGATCAGGCTAAGCAGCTGTATTCTTACTTCCACAAGTACGAATCACAGTTTGGCGAGCTATCCTCTATTGCTGAGCTTGAGAAACGCATGTCAGAGCTTTGGCCCGCTGACCCCAAGCTCACCCATTTCGCGAACCGTTTCTCCGTGGAGACATTCGACCCGATTGCCTATCGCCTCATCATATCGCCAGCTGTCCAGCTACGACCGAAAATGCTGATTCCGGCTATTGAACAGCCGACCTCAGTGCGACAGACTCCCATGCCGCCGTTACCAGTTCGCCAGACGGCCAGCCCGGGTCCCCAGTACATGGGCATCACGAACTCGCCCAAGAGACCGTTCGCTGGCGATGACTACGAAGAGCTCAACCGGCCGCGAAAGCTTGCCAGAGGAGAGTCGCCGCTTAAAGGTGCCGCTGGTCGCCGTCTTGACCAGCAGAGACGGAATCAAGGAGCGCCTCTTTCCCGAGACATCACCTTTTTGCTGGGTATTCTGCCCCCAGCTCACACGTACGCGCACGCGCCAGGCGCATTCCGCTTCAGCGCTCCCAACCTCGTCGGCCTTATAAGAGAGACCCCTGTGCCAGACTACAGCGCCTGGAAAGCACAGCAAGAGCTTGGCTCTCGACAAAACAATGGTATGCAACCCCTTTCTCAAAGCCAGAAGGCATCTGGTGACCACGCTGGGTACGGATTTGATGGCCGAAACTCGCCGCAGAGAACTCTCAGTCCACTTGATGGTAGCGGTCGGCGCTTGGCGTCGTCCGGCTACCGGAGTTCTCCTCTGCGACCTGGTTCCAGTGGCGGAAATCCCGAAGCCGCTGCATCCCGACAGGACGCCACTCAGCAGGGACAATACCCGCCAACGGCTTCGTATGATGGGAATGCCACCTGGACACCACAACCTGCCGGCTACGGCCAAGCACCGTCACAACAGTATGGCAGATACCAGTTTTGATCTTGGAGCTGACGAATGGATATCCAGGGGCCGGTTTCCGAAGAGGTTGGGCTTAAACGTGAGGTTCGACACAAGCACTTATCGATTCGTCGCACACCATTTTCCTTCGAAGGTTTACAGAGCAGGTTACGATACGCTTTGCTTGGGCCTACACATCTCCAGCGAATTGTTTCCTATTGGGCCGCCGTTTTCTGCATTTGCAAGTTGGAAGAAAGACGCCCTTCTGGTCTCTTCGAGCGGACATGATCATCAGTGTTCTGTAAAATATAAAAGTTAGGGGTTCCGCATCGATGGGGCGTTCAGGGCGGCGGATACTTACTGGTTCTGCTGCTACGAAGACAGCAAAGGATTTGTTTTTGTCTACACAAACGACCGGCCACAGTGCTGCGTTCGGTAGCTCATTGGCGGTACGCAAAAGAGTCGATAGTGGACGGACGCACGGATGGAGACATGGCACAGAAGTCGTTGTATACTTCGGCTAGCCATAGGCTTAAGTAAAGGAAGTAGATGATGCTGAAACCAGTGCGCATTTCGTGATCATCGTCAGTCTAGTGCCAATGAGATTGCTTGACTATGGTTTGCTTGTGCTCAGGTAGCGTCTCCACTTATCAATGATGAGATGGCAAGTCTTTAATAGGCAGTTTCTTCCCCTTTTGGTCATGTAAGGAGCTTACCAGTGCCAGCGTGGAAGTTGAGCTGATAGCGCGGATGTGAGGATAGAGTTGAGGACAGAGGTGAAGAACGTTCGCTCCAAGTAAGGCGGATAACCCCACTGATCTCTCGTTCAAGAGTTATCGCGTCTGCTGTTTCGGCCGGAGTTTCCATACCCTTGAGGTTGTTCCAGCCTCACTATTAAGTGGGTTTTTGAGTGAAGAGCAGTGGACACATTTACAAGAGCGTCTCATGCGGTGTGTCGGATGGCTCATGGGCAGCCAGGTGCCGCGGCCAACACGGGTCAAATAAATTGCGAAATACCAACTTCACTTCTCATCTCACGCATTGAAACCATTTTTCAAGAAGCATTTCTTACCGGATCTGAGCTCAACGCCATACCACTTTCAGTTTCCTAATTGTGCCCTCTTGCTTTTCAGATACTATAGCCATTTGTGTTGGTTCATTCATACATTTGTAGCGCTGCTGTCCTTGGCATCCCTGCTGTCTTGGATATCAATATCGTCATAATTTCATTATGCTTCCAGCTGTCTTCATTATCAGTACCTGCTCTTACTGTATATGTTTCTTTAGTTTCACTGACGCCTCTGCTATCCCCATCATTTGGATCTGCACTATCCTATCCTAGCTAGCTAAAATCAGAGAGTTCGCCTTTTGCCGTATACCCATCAGAAACTGACATATGTGACGTCGTAATGACTTTTAAGCTGGTATATTGACGACAGCAGGCCATCTGTTTTTGGTGTGAGATATTTCGTGTCCTACCATCCATCTCGCAATTGCCTCAAGTGGCCGTTTCCTTCTCTCACAAGAGCCCCCCCCGTCTCGTTTTTCGCACTTGCCTTGACTTCGTACCTCTCTTGCTCCTTCCCTCAGGGTCGACAACTAGGCCTTCTGCCCATCACAATTCGCCCTCCTTCTCGTCTCTATATAAGGGAACCTTTTCTCTCACCCAGAGTCTTTTCGTTTCTTTTTCAACACATACACACACACAACCAACCAACCAGCTTCAGCCAAGATCAAGGTAGGTCTATCACATATTTGTTCACACTTATCATAAATCCTCCTCACACATCCTCCCCACCCATACATACCATCATCTTTCACCGGCAGCTTCCTTCTATGTCGTCTTGCCTTGCTCACCTCAACCATACATCACCACTTCCAACCTACTCACAATTCTTATTTGGCGGCCTTCATTGCTCAACCACTGGTTTGTGAGGTGAGACTGGCTCTTGCCATCTCAGTTGTGCCTTCCTGCGTTTCTGGAGCACCTCCTTCCTTCCTTCCTTCCTTCTCACCTTTCTTCCGTCTGTCTCAATCACCTTCACTCAGCCTGAAAAAAAACCATCTTTTCTCCGCTCGCAACCAAACTTCTTCTCAAACACCAACACATATTAATGTCTTCAATAGCAAAACCAGATACTTCTCAAATCCATATCCAACAATAAGAGCAGCAACCGCACAGTCTCATCACCTCCAATTCATTCACAAGATGTCTGCCAACGGTCGTACTCAGCAGATCCGTGCCTCTATCATGAACATGGACGGATCGAACGATGGTGGTTCCCCCTCTGGCGGTCGATCCCGCTCCGGTTCGCACGCCTCTCAACCCAAGGCTCAGAACCCCTTCGGTCCTTCTATGGGCTTCGATCCTGCCAAGCCTCAGGGTGGTCCTGCGAAGGAGCATCAGAATACCCGCATCGATCCGCCCGCCGAGTCGTTTCTCAACCCCGGCGCATCTCCTTTTGTTCGGAGACCTGGCTACAACACCGCCGGTAAGCCGGTCAATCTCGAGGTGAACCAGTTCCGCGTCAAACAGTGGGACGACAAGATGACAATCTATCAATATGATGTCACTATCTCCCCGCCCCCCCTGAAATACAACGTTGTCTTCAAGAAGTGCTGGGAGTCTCGCGCCGTCCAGGAGATGCTAAAGAAGTACAAGTGTCTCTGGCTGCAAGATGGCCGAAAGCTCGCTTGGTATGTATTCTTTTCACGCATTGCGTATTCTTTGAACAGCCATACTAATACATTCACAGGTCTTCGGTTCCCATCAACCGTGGTGAGGAGCGTCTTAAGGTCGATCTTGACGAGGGCAAGCCTATCCGGCATAATGCTAAGGTCCCTGATAACTCTTTTTTCTTCGTCATGAAGGAGACAAAAAGAATCAACTTGGCAGCCCTGGAGGCATACCTCACTGGCAAGATGGATTGGGACAATTCCGTCCTCGAGTGCATGAACTTCATGGATCACCTTGTGCGCCAGTATCCAAGCGAGCGTCTTCTCTCTATCAAGCGGAATTTCTACAACGAGCGCAACAAGAAGAGTATGGACCTTGGCCCCTGTTTGGAGGTCGTAAAGGGTGTTTATTCCTCGGTCCGCATGAACCAGTCTGTTATGGACAAGATTGGACGTGGACTCGGTCTGAACGTCGACGTCGCCAACACTGCTTTCTGGAAGGGCAACGTACCACTGCACATGTTTGTTCGGGAATTTCTGGGCACTTGTGACCGCAGATGGCAGAGCATGAAGCCCAACGACATCGCCGATCTGCTCAAGCCGGTTCGGCAGAAAGACCGGAACGGGGGTATTGTCTTTGCCATGTCGGATGCCTTCAAACATCTTCGCAAGCTGGTCAAGCTTCCTTTTTCCCCTAAGCACCGTGGCAAGGAGAGTTGGGACAAGACCTACCGCATCAAGGCCTTCGCTTTTGATCAGAAGTTCGGTGAGCGGGGTGCTACCGCAGACAGTATCCAGTTCGAGAACAACAACGTGCTGATGAACATTACTCAGTACTTTCAGAAGACCTACGGTTATCAGGTCATGTTCCCCAACTGGCCTGTCGTTGAGACTGCAAAGTCTGGCTTCTTCCCGATGGAGATTTGCATCGTCAAGGCTATGCAGCGCTACCAATTCAAGCTGGACCCGGATCAGACCTCCGCTATGATTAAGGCCGCCGTGACGCGACCTAACCAGCGAAAAGCTGACATCATGGATGCAAAGAATCAGCTGTCGTGGAAGGAAGACCCGTACCTCCGCCAGTACGGTGTCGTCTTCGAGGATCAGATGGCCCGAACCCAGGGTTCACTTCTCGAGCCCCCTAAGATCCAGTACGCGAACAACATCACAAGCCCCATGTTCTCTGGTCGTTGGGATCTGCGTGGCAAGAAGTTCTGGGTTCCCAACCGTCAACCCCTGCAGTCCTGGGGTATACTTATTCTCGAGAATGGATGCAACAAGGCCACCGCCCAGGCCTTTGTACAGACGTTCAAGCAGACATATACTGGTCACGGAGGCAAGATTATGAGGGATGCCGTCATCGTTGACAGCGAGGTCCGGAACCATAATGTTGCCGAGGCCGTTGCGAAGGCTTATGCTCAGATCAAGGCACAGACGAAGGCTACTCCTCAGCTGCTCTTCTGCGTGCTGAGGTTCAACAACGCTGGCTCCTACGAGCGCATCAAGAAGTCTGGTGACTGTCGCTTCGGCCTGCTCACCCAGTGCGTCCTTGCGCGTCACGTCGAGAAGAACCAGGGTCAGTACCACTCCAATGTGGCCATGAAGGTCAACGCCAAGCTCGGCGGCATTACTTGCCGTATCCCCCATCCGTCCGGTCCTGCCAGTAAAGCTCCTGCCTTTTTCAAGCAAGTTACAATGATGATTGGCGTCGACGTATCTCACTCCTCGCCGGGCATTGACGCCCCTTCGATGGCTGCAATGACAATGTCCATGGATCAGGATGCTACGTTCTACTCCGCGGCCGTCGAGACCAATGGTTACCGCGTTGAAATGTTGTCTCCTATCAACTCAAAGAACTTCCTCGCTCGCCTGATGCCCACTTGGCACAAGCGCATGAACCACCCGGCGCCACCCCCCCACATCATCTACTTCCGTGACGGTGTATCCGAGGGACAATACGCTCAGGTCCTTGAGTACGAGGTTGGGACGATGAAGAAGCTGATGGAGCAAAAGTACCAGGGACAAAAGCAGCCCAAGTGGACTGTTATCGTGGCAACCAAGCGTCATCACATCCGCTTCTTCCCGCAGCAGGGCGACAAGAACGGCAACCCGTTGCCCGGTACCCTCTTGGAGCGGGAGGTCTGCCACCCGTTCTGGTGGGACTTCTACCTCTGTTCTCACGTCGCCATCCAGGGCACTGCGCGCCCCGTTCACTACACCGTTCTCGTGGACGAGGCTAAGATGAAACCCAACGATCTTCAGCGCATGATCTACGGCCAGTGCTACTCTTACGCCCGCTCGACGACTCCGGTATCGCTCCATCCCGCAATCTACTATGCAGATCTTGCTTGTGGCCGCGCTCGTGCCCACGAGAACATCGCGACGTCCCATGGCTTCCGTTCTGGTCCAAAGGCTGCAGAGATGGCCGATGAGTACGGCGCTCGCGGCATGTCTATGTTCGATAATGATCGACCTACCGAGGCTATGCAGCTTCTACCTCTGGGCGGTGCCGGCGCCGATGCTGACCCCCAGGCGAGCGAGATGTTCAAGGGCACTATGTGGTACATCTAAGCAGAAGACGCGACGGATGACCAACAGCCAAGATGCGATGGATGAAGGGAAGGATGCATGAAGTGTGAAGGGCAGGGATGGCACAGGGAGCGAGTGAAGGAAGCGATGAGCATGATGATAGTGAGAAGATGAGAGAGGGGCGAGAAATTTCTCATGGCGAGTCAGGGATTCAAAAGGTCTACTAGTTCCGGGTCATCACTAGCATGGCCTCAATCGTTGCAATAGGGTGGCAGTGTCCTGGGTGAGCAGGTCTGCGGCCTGTTCAATTAGATAGTGAACGTTGCCTTTCCTCAACTGTGTTCCAGTTTTTCTATGCGTGATATGATGGTCTTGTGACCCCGGCAACAGAAATCGCAACGTTGGTCTCATCGAATTCGACGGAGAAAAAAAGGAGCAAAAAAGAAGGCTTACTTCTAAGCAATATGAGAGGGAACACACATTACCCATCTTAACACTTGAAGATGTATGCCACGAACTCAATCCCTGGTTAACCAAGCATCCAAGACTACGGACATGTTCGAGGGGAATGCATGTCATCTCCGATGTTTGGCAATGTAGTCAACGATGACATGTATTGTAAGCGATGTGTTGAAGCTCTGGGGTCTGATGGCCCTTAGGGCCCCAGGACTGTTCAGACACACCACGGAGGGGTTCATCAAGACGGGCTCCTTAACCATACTGAACAGAAGGGCAGCCCTTTTCATCTGGCCAGATGCAATGGATGATGCTGAGGTTTGGTTTTCACAGACCATCACATCGTGTTGGTGGCTGAATGTAAGGTCACGAAATGTTGATTTTTGGGGGTGTTTCTTCTTCTTCTTCTTCTTCTTCTTCTGATTCGATGGTGCTCAGGAAAGGGATGAGTACATTTGGCTCACTTTATGAATTTTTGCACTCGGGATCTTTTTGGTCATTTGCTGGCGGCCTCGCCGTCCCCGAGAGGCATGGAAACGACGCCGGGCACGCCGGACGCACGCGCGGTTGGGTCAGCGGGTCAGTTGTTGTGGTTCTTCTGCGTCTGTATCGCGGGCTGGTTGACGTTGGAGTCGTGGGACGAGCGCAGAAACCTCGAATCACCTGCATCCTGTGGCTCCTGTGTTCGCAGGGGACGGATAGGCAGCGCGTCTCTTCCACCTTCTGGGGTGGGAGATGAGGCCATGTTCTCATCGGCTTTCTATCTTTGGATGTGAGCACACTGCTTGTTGCACACTGCGCGGGACTTTCACTGTTTACATGGGATTGGACCAGTAATCGCTTGCAGAGTGCGCGGTCTATGGGTTTCTTGATATTTGCTGCCCTGGATGGGATCCCGCATATTGAGAAATGATGACCGCGGAAGTAGCGCTTCCCGGGGCACTCATGACCGCCAGACTCTGACGAGATCCCCAAGGGCGACAGCTCAAGCTAACGGGTATCTATGTCCATCGGGCAGGGAAATACGCATTTTGAGCCTCGCCCCATGCAAGTCGCCAGCCCGGTGATCATCACTCTCGCCTCGGGGTCATTTCGCCATTGAACACGCCCCAATAGCAAGAACCGTTTACGGATACCCATCCACGACAGATTTCCCGGCCGAGAAGACGGCGTCCCCAACCCAGAACACACCCACACGTCCGGGTCGTCGGGGTGCCGCTCGAGAGCCGGCCTCTTGTTGCTGCCGTGCACCGGCGCAGCCGACTTCTCTTCGACCGAGGAGGGTTCAGGGCCACGGCAGACCTCGGTCTGATGCCAGGGGCACATGGACATGCCACTGCCAACAACAGCGAGCGGGATGGAAAGAAGCCGAGACTACGGCTACGCGACTCTCGCAGGGGAAGGAATGTACGGACGGACAAGGGGGTCGAGGACCTCGTTGATGAACAACTCATTGCATGTTGCTAATAATTCGCGATAGACTCTTTTCAAATGCAAAGTTGAAAACACGATCGGCCCCCTCAGGTCTAACCCAGACTTCGCGCACACCACCTATATACCGGTGTGTACAGAACGCCTGCCTTCAAGCTCACCATCGGGCCGGACACACGGGAAGCTCTTTTCAATGTAATGTGTTTTCTTGGTATAGTCATACATGATCCTCGTAGACTTCAGAGTAAAAACGTTGCAACCCGATGACCGACGAAACGCTTCCCTTTTCCCAAAAAAAGCACAATGCAAACTCGACAAATGATATTCCCCTGGGACGAGCGAGTTCTGATGCGACAGGACCCCCCACACAAGCTCCCCGCTTTCCCTTGCGGGAGCACTGTCCCCATGACATCAATCCAACTCCACCCCCGCCATGGCAGCCCACCTTTCCGAGAGCTCGGCACATTATGACCCGTTAACACCCCGTCAATCACACCTCACGGAATATCTCGCCTCGTCTATTTCGCTGAGACGACGACGTTTGGGATGGAGAGGTTCTCCCCCTTGCCGGAAACGATGGGCATCTCGCGAGCCTTCTCCTCGCCGCCAAAGTTGGAGCTTGCCCGCCGGCTGAGCGTGACGCCTGCCGTGGAGCGCGCGCCAGGGCCGTAGTTGATGTTGCTCGCCTTGTCCAGCGTCTCCTTACACATGCGCAAGAAGACGGCACCCAGCTCCGGTCGGTGCAGGGGAATGAGACTGAAGAAGAGAGAAGCGGTAATGCGGAAGAGGGTCTTGCGGTGCAGGCGCACCGAGTACGTCTCCTCGAGGAAGGTGAAAAAGTGCTCCTGAAGACTCCCGAGGAGGTCTGAGTCGGCCTCGTCGAGAAGGGGCTGGTCGTTGTCGAGAGCGCCACGTAGGTCGTGGTTGTTGGCGCTCATGAAGAGGATGTGGTCGTAGCCGCATAGGGACTGCAAGACCTTGCCGAGATCGTAGTGGATATCACCCTCGGGGGTCAGTGTGTTCTCCAGCTGGCAGCGCACGTCGATGAAGCTGACGAGCTTCTCGTCCTTGGACAGGATGGCGTTGCTGAAGACGGGGTCACCGTGGATGACTTGTGCATGCACGCCCTTCTCCTCGGCCTCGTAGGTGTCGAGGAACTCGTTGATACGGGCGAAAAGGGACGCAGCCAGGGGGCCAAGCGCGTCGTACTTGTCCTGATGCTGATAGTATCGACTGCGCAGCTTCGAGCCATAGTTTGCGTAGATGTTGACGCGGTGGTTTGCCCGCGCGAGGGAGTGCTCTTCGAACTTCTTCTCCAGAGCGCTGGGGATATTGAGGGTGGCCTTGTCGGTGCTGGCCGTGGTGTGGACGGAGTGGAGAGCCTTGAGCAGGGAGATGAGGCGGCCCTTGGTAATTGAGCGACCGACCAGGAGGTGAGAGAAGGTCAAGCCGCGGCGGTTTTCCATGGTGATGTTGTAGGTGGTGGTGTCGGGGATGTAGTCGACATTGTAAACGGTAGGGAAGATGTGCGCGATATCGGCGGGCATGTGGGAGTAGAAGAAGAGCTCGCCAAGGATGTTCTCCGACTTGCTCGACTTGATCACCTTGTCGCCAATGATCTGGATGGTGTTGAAGTCGCGCGCGGCGATCATGCCGGCCTTCTTCGCGTCCTCTGCGGTACCAGCATCTTGCCCGATCAGCGCAGCCGGGTCGTGCTCGTCCAGAAGCCAACCAATCTCCCGCATGGTATCCAAGTTGGCGTTGACTGCCAGGTCATCGACGTAGACATCGGCGTAGGGCTTGCCGAAGTGGATATCGTGGTAGGGAATTTCGTACTTGGCCAGTTGTGCAAAGGTAACCGGGCCGACATCCGCGAGGACAGAGCCCAGGTTTCCGTGATGTGTGCGCATGCGACGCGCCGTTTGCTATTGGAAAGTTAGCCAAAGACGTTCAGAGGGACCGTCTGCTGTTTGCGCCAAGCGCCCCGACACGACTTACAATAATAATGTAGTGGCCCGCGTTATACAACTGCTGCACAAGGCGGATGTTCTTCTCGATGGGAGGGCAGGTGGAGTAGTCTCCGGCCACAGCGGGCACGCCGACCAGGGTCATGTCGAGGTCGAAGCAGAAACGGCGCTTCTTCAGCTTGATGGGGAGGTTGGAGGTGTCGGTCTTGAGAAGCTTCAAGAGGTCCTTGAGCTGCTCGGGCGTGCCGACAACGCTGAAATCCTTGGTGCTGACGGGCATGCCCAGGTAGGGAACGCCGTTCTGGATCATGAGGGCGATCATCTGCGAGGTGTAGTACTCGCCCACCTCGGAGCCGTCGGGCCTCTTCATGTCGAGGTTCTCGGCGGCCCACGACTTGAGCTGGGCGGCGGACGGGAAGACGTACGCGCCCGTGTTGGCCTTGTTGGAGATGGCCTTCTTCTCCTGGATATCGACGATGCGCTCCAAGCCGTCCCTGTAAAGGTGCTCTGTTAGACGTGCAGTTGGGGAGAGAAGCTTCCAGCACGCGCTCCCAGGGTTCACTTACTTGGTGGGTTCCGTCTTGATGTAAGAGAAGATGGGCTTGTCACCGACGTCGGGGAAGTAGAAGCAGCCGCCATGGCCCTTGGGCATGTTGCGGATGTCCTGAAGGACATCGGCCCAGTAGATGGTGTCGCAGTCGAGGGAGACGGTCTTGCGCTCGAGGTGCTTCTTGGTCATGCTTTGGGTGACGATGAAGAGCTGCAGGGGCAGGAACCCGTCAGCGATGCGCTCCCATCTTGGCTTTGCCCCTCCATGGGCGGTTTATGCGACGAGGGGAGACCGCGGGGGGTCGGGTGTAGGACTTACCGTCTCGCTGGCGCCCTTGGTCTGGTGACGCAAGCGCAGCAGTCTGAAGTCGATCTTGGAGAAGGTCTTGCTCACGAGCTGACCGATTCTGAACTCGTCGTCGACCTCCTCGTTGATGGCCATCCACAGGGTGTCGCCGGGCTGGAGGCTCAAGTTGTCAATGAGCCATAGCAGCATGGGCCGGCCAACGATGTTGATCAGCGGCTTCGGGTAGCGGTAGCCCTCCTTTGCGAAGCGGGAGCCAATGCCGCCGATAGGGATAATGACATTGATGGGCTCGCGGTTAAAGTCGCCGTTGGCGGCAGCGGCAGCAGCAGCGCCGTTGGCAGCAGCCTTTGTTAGGGGAGCCATTCTGACAAGGGGAAAGGGTCAACGGCTGTTGCGTGTCTGAAGGTGGTGTTGACCGTTTGCGAAGAGAAGCGTTGGGCTGATGTTGGGAAAGGTGTCGCAAAGCCCAAGGCGGCGCGGAAGTGGCAGAAAGTCGCGAACGATGGAATGTCTCTGGCTGGGTCTTTGGCGGAGAACCTTGGCGGTGGAACTGTAGCTACACAACCGAGGAACCACAAGTCGGCCTGCTCTCTAATTCCAGTGCGGGTTAGACGAGGAAAAGCAGAAAGCGAGTCTACCGGTTTCCAATCCAGCACCTCAAGGCAGAGAAGAGCGAGGCCAAAGGAGAGGAGCTGCGAGTCGGAAGAGCTCGAGAGAAAGGACCGGCCGACGAGGGGATAGGTGTCCCTCTTTCCCACCTTAAGACCTTGAGGTACCCAGCAAAAAGATACGTACACAGTAAGGTAAGGTATGGGAAGGCAAGGCAAGGGAAGATAATGTCAGGGTCGTGGAGTCCGTATCCCGGTAGCAACGACAAACAGTAGTAGTGAGTGGATGCGATCTCGCCCTCCAGAGCCGACTCTCAGGCAGGCAACGGGGGAAAATAGTTCGGTACCTCGTGAAGCGAATTAAAAGTCGGGGCAGCTGCTGGTTTTTTTCGTTTTTTTTCTTTTCGTTTGTCAACCCCCTCACCTGCGCCGAGTTTCTCCAACTGCTAACAGATTGCAACGCCCCAAACCCCATTAGGGGGCCGACAAGTGACCCTCCCGCCCACTCTACGCCTCGCGAGTCTCAGTCTCGGTCTCTCAGTCTTTCTCCCCTCTTCCCTCACCTGTCCTCGCACGCCCTGTATCCGTACCTCTGCCCCTCCATCCCCTTACCTTTCCGGCTTACATCGAACGGAAAGCGACAAGGATGAGGGTGCCATTTCCCTTAGCTCAAGGATCCTTTTTCTTCTTCTCCATGTCTTTACTGTCTCTCGCGCTCTCGCGAACCACAACCGTACCGCCGCCCCGTGTGTACACTAGGTTCGACGTAAGGGACGGCCGTGGCCTAGACCGGAGATCAGCTCACTCGCTTCCGCGGACAAGTCCAACAGGAGACGGGCGAGCAACCGGGAAGAAAGGTACGAAGGTGGCATATGGTTGATGGGACAAGGGGGGTCGCTTTGCCGCATAGGATAGTGGATCAACGCCCCGTGAGACGTTTAACACGGCCTAGGTACTGGTATAGACTGAAGCGTTTGATGAGCAGCGAGCCGCGGCAGCGCCCAGTGGTGTCGCCAATTGCCAAATTTCCAATTAGGCACCGACCGGGGAATGGCCTTCCAGGCCGTCAAAATGGACTACGGAAGTGGAGCCGGACGAGCGCCCCGGCCGGGGACAGTTAGCGTTGCCCCGTCTCGACACTGTGCAGTACAGAGCAGCCGCCCGGACCAGCCCAGAATGTCGCCGTGCCTGGCCTTGTGGGCTCGTCCCCGACTCCCCAAGCCTCGCCCCCCCAAGCAGGTCTAGTCTCGGCTGGATCCTCATGCTAGATCCCGTGTTGGATCATCGCTCACGACCACAACATTTCCTCGTCTCTTTTTGTTGCCCACTCCTGCCGTCTCGCTTTCTCTACTCGAGGTACTCATTAGGCGCAGCAACCGAGACGCTCTCCGTCGGAAACCCGACACCCCAATTTTTCGTTGTTGCAAAAGGCAAGACTTGGCCGCCAAGAGCCAGGGGTGTGGCTTATTCATGCCTAGCCCGGTTGGCGGCCGTTGGCCATAAACGAACGGCCATTTGTTTGGTGTTTTGTCTGGCAATCGAGCGGCGTATCCACGACGGGCAAAGATGGACACGTGTGATGGCGATCCGATTACTGACTGGATTGTGAGGAAGGGGATGTTGCGTAAGAAAAACGCTCCCCTCAAACAGGTCGAGCGCTCTGACCGAGGGCTTTTGGTGAATCGTGACATCATCAAGTCTAGACACCGGACGAAAACCTCGCTCTCTCCTTGCTGTTACTAGTGATAGTGAGCACATCCCAAATTGAGGTTTTGATGTCAAACTACGCTGTCTTGCGATGTCAAACTACGCTGTCTTACCTCTTGGTCTGGGTTCGGGAGCACGGAACTCTGAGATTTTGGGACGAAATGTGGGAAGCATGAAGCCAATCCTGCGGCGGGCGGCAACATAAACGAAGGGAGTCAAGCACCAGCCATTGGCAGAGCTAAGAGAAGAGACCTGCGGGTGAGCGCGCTACCCATCCTAGGTAGCCATCGCATGCATCCCCTGTTGCTCAGCGGCGTGTCTGGTGTAGTCGGGGCTTGCCGGGGCCAAAAAAAGATGGTCATACAGAATGGCTCATGCTGTCAGCCTTGCGTGGGATTGGCGGAGACGCAGGGGGAGGGGCAACCGACGCGGGCGACAGGGGTTCGAATGCGTGGCTTGGGGGTGTTGGCTCGAGACGAAGCGCATCCAGCGCAATCCGAATCAATCAATGCCAAATGTCTGTACCGTGCTGCAGGCGAATGGGATTGACGGATGCAGACCTCGTAATGAGCTGATGATGAGAGAGAGCGTCACGGCGCCTGCGGTTGGCTGTCAGAGTGTTGTGTGCCTGCGAGCTCAGGGGCTGCTCATTTCGACTTGCAGGCGCTCGAAATATCCAAAACGCAAACTTTGATAGAATGTTGTACCTTGGCTTGTTTGCGGGAATACGGAGGCCTCTTAAACTTTCTTCCAGTAGGAGATGAACGCAGAATGTCGCCAAGTCCTATTCGACTTGCAATCCTAAGTGGTTTGGTGAGGAGGAGTGATGCACAGCCCCGAACCCAGTTCGCCAGGGAGAGGAGGCCAAAGTCAGATAAGAAGGGCCAGGAAGGAAGGCTACTTACTGTAGCATCATTTGTCGAGCGCAACGGTGCGGAACTCTGACCGAGATGGGAGAGCGGCGGAAGATGATGGTGTACATCGGCCAGGTGGGGAGCGCATAGCTGAGGCGACCGAGAAGCTTTGGACATGGCAACGGTCTCTCTCGGTTTCCCCACGAAGAAGGAGCGTGGGAGGAGCGAATGGCCAAGGACATTGCGTAAGATGCCGTCGACACATTTCCTGAAACGGCGTGCTTGACTCGTAGGGTCGTGTTTGGCGATCATGGCCAATGCCGAATTGACAAGCGGATAAGGGCTCTGTAAAGTGGGATGGATGGGCACCATCAATTTGTGTGGTTGATCCCGCAGCTACCGAGCGATGGGTATTTTGATCGAGGGAAGATGCTGGGAAAATCCGGGGAATTTGCAGCGAGTCCTTGTTCAGATAAAGTTATCTGGTGTGTTTCATTCTTCAAGGTTCTCCTGCCTCACTTTTTTTTAATGGTATTTTAGTGCGCGGAGCAAAGGTCGTCCCGGCCACGATGCCACGGGGTGTACCAGTGGCCATCGACATTATGCCCCACCAAGACGCGCGCGCATCTCGTGTTGAATGCGTGTCGAAGGCAAGGAAGCCGAGCGGGAGATGCGTTGGCCTGTGATGGAGGGCAAGGGACGGATAAAAGGGAAGACGAACGAGGAGTCCGAGTCTCTTTTGCACTTTGCGCCCAAACAGGTTCTGGCCAGGCCACCCGATGCGATGATGTGCGTATGCTGTTAGGTAGTTGAAGGGCCGTGAGTTGTCATGTCGTAATGGTGCGCCAACATCTGCCAGCGTCTGCCAGCGTCCGCCAGCGTCCTAAGTCGCTTCTCGAAGAATGCCCAAACGTAGGCGAAAGAGCAAGAGAGAGAGAGAGAGAGAAAGGAAATAGAAGCCGGCCATTAAGGTTCGACCCGCTGGGACGCCACACTGTGCAGTCATGCCAGGGCCGTGCTGGCGACTCAACATCTTGCTGTATCCATGTCGTGAATCCCAGTGCATTGGGACGTTTTTTTCTTGGGCGGTGCCGTGACGGTTCAAGCAATTGGAACGGGAATGGTTGAACCCCCACGGAGTGCCCGCGGTAGAAAGCACGAAATACGGGGAAAGAGCCGCCCGACGTGGTCGCCGTCGGTTCCGTCTCTTCATCCCTCCTGTATTTCTATTTATTTAGTACTTCGGTTCAGTCTCTGTACAAGACGGGAACAATTCCTCTTTATTTGCCAGCGACAGAAGAAGGGTGAAGGTGTGTGTGTGTGCGCGTGTGGCAGGGTATCTTGGCGTGCCCCAGTGCCCGGATACGAGCGGATTGTATTTGGCATTCAGGCGCAGATGAGCCAAGGAGTTGCAGACTGAGAGATATGGATATAGGTATGGGACTTTGGAAAACCAAGAGAACCTGAACCTACCCATTACCCATCGGCTCGCGAATAAAAGAACGGTCGAGCTACGTGTCACTACCTTACCTTGGTTACCAGTGCAAGGCAGGTGCGTACAAGCCGTCAATTGAGATCTGCGCCGCTGCGACGCTGCATCCTCCCTTTGGGCGCAATCCTTTTTGTTGCTGCTGCCAATTGTTGATCTGCCTGTCTGCCTGCCCAGCTAAATGAGGGAACAACAAGCAATTCTGCATTCGCTCGACTGCATCGACGCCATCTGACTTGGCTTTTGTCTTACAACGGCCAGAGCACCCACAGGCAAGGGGCCAGGAGCGAGATAAGCATCCTGTGCAGTCTTAGTCTCCGCGAACCAATGCGCCGCGATTCCCGGGTCTTAGGTCCCACCATTGAGACAAGTCGCTGCCGTCGCGCCCAGAGATGATGCCATGTGCTCGAGAAGCCTCAGGTCCTCATAGCGAGCCATCACGGCCATGGCAAAGGAACATACCGCTCGATACTCCTCCCATCACGATGCCGCCCCGCCTGCCCCCCGCCTCCCCCCGGCCGATGCCAATTGACTGGATAGCACGCGCGACATGGACCTGAAGCTGAGTGAGATACCTTTGGCGGGTCGCACCGTACGAGATGCCAGATGTGGACTCCAGCACTGTACGTATATCGTGTCCTACCTTACCTCGGTGGCGGAGTCCCGGATCCGCCTCACAGTGTGTGGGAACGGGCGCGAACCTCAAGTGGAAACGGTTGCCATTTGCTACTAGATACCTTAGCCCCAGGGGGAAGAGCAGCTGGAACAACAAGGGCAGCTCCCCATAGGTTTGTGTCCATCCCGCCATACCCAAAAAGACCATACTAAAATAAAAAGAGGGTGCTACTGCATGTTGGAAGAAGACGTCGAACCCGTCGCAACGCATCGCCGTCTTTTCCAGCAATCACGGTACGCAGCCTCTTTACGAGAGAGATCAAGCCAGAATTGGTATGGGCCAGCCACACCCTTACGTCTTCCATCGTGGTTTTGTCCCCGTATGGTGGTTGCTAGTTTGGGGGGTTTTTTTTTTGTTGATGGCGATAAGATTGAGTTTCGCTTGCCCCCTTTTCCTGCAGTGGCTTGCCGGAGGCATGAATGAGAGCAATCAGACAATGAGACAACTAGGGCCACTCAAGACCAGCGATGCCTGGTTTGCAACAGCAGCTGAGAGGCTTGGTGTCTCCGACTTGAGACTGCCAGCACCGTTGCAGTGACTAGCGAAGCAGAGTTTGATCAGCTACAAGTTGAGACTGCCAGCAGCATTGTACGATGTAGTGGCGGGTGAAGCATAGTTTGATCAGCTACGGCGGCTCCATCGCAGAGCGCAGCAAAGGTGAGCCAGCCAGACTCGGCCGGCTTGCCCGATTCTTATCGAGCTTCATCGGCAGAGAGCCGGCAACCGGTTGTGTATGACTTGAGCAAACAAGTCCCTGCCTTCCAAACAGTGTCACCATCTCTTGTCGGGTTCCTAGACGGTAGGTGGTCTTGTCGAATCGTCGTGCAGCACGGCTTGTCCAACTAAGCAATGCAATGCAAGGCCTACCTGTACGCAGCCACTTGCCCCCGTATCGGTGACCAGTGCACAGAAAAGCCCAGCCCAGACGACACCGACATGGCACCGGTGTCCTGGCCTGCTCAACGTGGTGGTATTGACCCTCTCGATGTCAGAGATCAGCCACCTTAAATTCTGACACAGTGCGGCGCCTCCAGCGACCCTTTCGAAAACACAGCCAAGCTCAAGGGTAGCGTCCCTCCCCCTCCGTGGCACACCCGTGGCCCCCATTTGCCTGCACCAAGAGTCAAGAGCTCTCGCAGATGGGGACGCATTTGAAAGGGGTCCTAGCATCCCTCTTTCGACTCCTTGCTTGCTCTAGCGGCCCTTCATCCACTGGCAGACAGCACCGCGCTGCGCCGTGTCATCAACTCGACCAATGAGAGGCGGCGCTACTCTTCTTCGTGGCCCCACATGCACCCGGGCTTTTCCCTTCCCACTGGAACCGCTTGCCTGCTCGCCAGCGTTCCTCATCGAGAAGGGACAGGTGGGTTCGAGGAAGAGCGGTTCCGGGCAAAAGTACCTTTCCGGCAAGGATTGCTGGCACTGTACATCGGCCAGGACGGGAAAGTCAGTCAGCACCTCGAGTGGGCACCTGCCGGGATCCGCCTCTACCACGGTCCCCCCTTCACAGTTCCCTTCCCTTGCTTCGACTGTGGCATCTGCTTCCTGCGTTCCCCCATTCTTCCCGCTCGATGCTTGCCAATAACTATTCTTTTTCCTCTCTGGCCTGCACCTTCTCCCGAGGACTCATTTCCCCCCATCCGAATAAACCCAGCGACCCTTTTCTCAGCTTGCGATAGGTATTGGCACCATCGCAAACGAAGACGAACGACGGCCTCGAATCACTCGAAACAAACCCGGACGGATTGGTTGACGAGTGGTACCCTGAGCTCTCCTACACACACACACACATACACACACATACACACAGAGAGAGTCTCGATGCGCATGTCGAATACGACGGCCCTGCGAGCGTCATTCCCCCACCCCCAAGAAACCTAAAGGCAACCGAGACCTTTCGTTCCTGCGCTGCCGCTGCCGCACCACCAAAGCCCGCCAACAACCAATTTCCAGTCACTGCACCGCGCCAGAGCTGGTCCTTTTCTGCTTTTCATCCCGCTCGCTGCCAATCCATCGAAGCTCGGTTCGCATAATCCCCGACGCAACCTCGATCGCAATTGTCCCTCGAGCCATACCGAGCAAACCACCAGACACTGATTGAACCGCCCTCCAGCGACTGGTAGTCGTCATCATGCTACGACACGGGAGCATATTGGGGTTCTTCCTCAAGCCCCTAGGATGGATTCCCGGCGGCCCTCAACAAGCCGCCTACGCCGCTGCCCTCGGCCTGGTCGCCATCCAGGTCGGTATTGGCATCATCATGAAAATCGCCCAGACAGGCGGTTCCTACTCCTTCTCCCCCTCGGCCTCCGTCACCATCTCCGAGTTCTTCAAGATGGTTCTGTCTACCATCTTCTTCTACAACGAATGCAAGCGCAGAGTCGCTGACGGCATCCGCCCGTCGACGCGAGGAGGCGGCAACGGCTACGCCTCCCTTGCCACATCGGAACTACCGTTGAACGAGCGAAGCAGTTTGGACGAGAAACGGGAAGAGGAGGGGCTAAACGGCAACGCCAGCTCGTCGAGCAATGGCAACGTCGTCGACAAGCACACTGGCCCGCTGCCCCCCTTGGATTTCAGGACCTACTGGAGCTACGTTCGCGGGGAAGTGACCAGAGACGTGCGATACGGCTTTTGCAACTTGGCCTTGTTTTACGTGCTCATCAACAATTCGGTAGGTGGTGCCTGTTCGCCGATCCTCACATCATATCGGCCTTGGCTAACTCCCCTAGATCTTTGTCAGCTACAAGATGGCCGATCCCGGTACGATCCAGCTGACCAAGAGCGGTGTTACCTTCATCACCGCTCTGGTTATGATTGCGACCCTGAACACCAAGATCTCCAAGATCCAGTGGATCGCCATTCTGATGCAGGTGAGTGCTACCATGGTGATACTCGACGACCCGGTCTCGTCACTAACATGCCGTAGATTTGCGGCTTGATGGTGACCCAGTACAACCCCCAGACGGGCACGACATACCCGTTTAGCACGTACTTCATCCTACTCTTCCAGGTCTTCCTGAGTGCATCCTCGGGCGTGTACAACCAGGCGCTGCTCAAGACGGACGACTCGAGCTTGCACGCCGACAACATGATCCTCTATGGCGCGGGTGCTGCTATGAACCTGTTGTGCCATTTGGTCATTAAGACTCTGAAGGCCGACGAGCCGGGCTTCTTTGAGGGCTACAACAGCTTCGGAGCTATCATGGTCATTGTCAGCAACGTCTTCATTGGCCTTGCCATCACTGCTGTCTACAAGTGTAAGTTGCTACGACCGACTCCGGCTGCCGCGCACTTTGCTAACTTGGTACAGATGCCGACGCCGTCATCAAGTGTTTCGCGACCGCCGTCGCGACCGGCATCCTTCTCTACGTCTCGCCCATTCTTTTCGGCACCAAGCTCAGCTTCCTGGTTCTGCCCGGTACTGTAGTCGTATTTGTTGCCTCTTGGCTGTACATGGACAACCCGCCTCCGAAGGACCCCAACCCTCCTCCGAGCAACGAGCCCCAGAAGATGTCCTTGTTCAGCAAGATGGCAGCTGTTGCGAGGAAGTTCAACAAGATCTTTCTCGGTGTCGCCACCTTTATCACGGTTCTCATTGTGGCGTTCCTCACCATGTCGGAGGCTAAGATGCCTGACTTCGCCAAGGACGGAGGCTCGGCACCGTCGACGCCATCGGGGCCGAAGCCCGTCACCGGCAGCGAGAGCACGGTCGAGTCGCCTTTCAAGAACACCCTAGCCATGATCCGATGGAACTCTGCACGCCCTGAACGCATCCCCCTGCTGCAGAAGTACGAGCCGTTCTTCCACACCGTGCACATCTCGATGCCCAACATGTTCAAGGCAGAGGACCCCGAGTTCCACAACCTGACCCACGACCAGTTCCCCGGGACCTTTACCGTCTACAAGCAGGTGTCTCGCACTATGAAGCTCATCTTGGACACTCAGCCCGAGATCGACGGACTGATGTACTACCACTTCGATGCCTGGATCGACCCCCTCGGCTGGACCGGCATGAACCCCTACAACATCCACTTCCCCGCCATTCTTGACACTGCCCCGCCATCCCACGGTGGACCCGAGTTCATGTGCCTGACAAACACCAAGAACTACAACTGGTGGGGATGGGGACAGGACTTCCACCGCACCGCCATGGCCGCGGCTTCAGTCGTGGACAACTTCGACCTCGAGTACACGATCCGGCGTGATGAGTTTTGCGTTGGCTGGAGTGACATCTACTACATTCCCCGACGGTTCTTTGCCGACTACATCTTCCTGTCCGAGATCTTTGCCGGGTTCGGGGTCTTTCACGAGGTTGCCATCCCCACCATTGTGCACATTATCGACCAGAGTCGCCGGCGCAACCCACACCGGTCCATCATCGATCATATCAGCGACTGCTGGGGCAACTGCTGCAGCTCCAACCCCAAGATCCGCGACGTGCTCGGTGCTCGATGCGGTCATCGTCTCAACTACCTAGAGGATGGGCCCATCAACGCGTTTTACGACAAGCTCGATGCCCAGGCGGAAATTTTGGGCCAGACTCTCAACTCAACCAAATACGCCATGTCCAGCAGCGAAGCCGCTCACCTCTTCGACAGCGCAGCGCTTGCGACTATCAACAACGGCGAAGCGAAGAAGGTCGCACCTACGAACGATGACGCTCTGGAAGACGACCAGCGAGCGGACAAGCTGGCCGCGGAAAAGGCCAAGCAAGAAAAAGAAAAGCTGAAGGATGAGCATGCGCCCGTCGACAAGACAGGAAAGCCCGGTGACCCCAAGGCCGATCCCTCGAAGGTTCCTCCTCCCCCACCGAAGGACGACAAAGAGGGCGCCAAGAAGGAAGAAGGCAAGAAGGAAGGAGAGGAAAAGAAGGAGAGTGACAAGAAGGAGGCCGATAAGAAGGAGGCCGAGAAGAAGGTTGACCCCAACGACGCCCTCAGGGAAGGAGACCGGGACGCCGACGTGAAGCGAAGATTACGGCGGGAGGTCTTGGCTGCCGTCGCTGGACTCGGCTATTAAACACCCTCATATACCCTCCACCTTTCCTTCATTGTACTCTTTATTACTTTTTACTCGGCGACGCTTTTCCCTGTCTGACGCGACATATGGTCCGAGAAGGGAGGGCCGGAATCAGAAGTTGGCAAACGACTCTGGCGTGCTCGGCATTCCGCCGAGCTCGGTCGAGCGAGGGCACGGGACATACGACACATGACACCAGAAGCGGTGCCGATGGACCGGCTAGCTGGGGTAGCCGGCCAGTAGATATTTCCTTTTGATATTGAAGCGGCCCGAGGACCGGAGTGTACGTTTTTTTTCACTCGGCACACAGCATAAGTATCTGATTTTCCGGACTTGGTAGGTACGATATAGACTCGTCAAACATGGGTATGGAATGGGGCGGTTCTTGTTTTTGGCGCAAAGAGATGGGAAATGCCCCCCTCGAGGTTGACGGGGGAGCCTCGGCTGTCGAGGGTCGGACACCTCGATTGAGAATGGGTTTATTGATGTCAGATATATAAACGTGTGTAATAAAAGAAACTGTTTCATTCTCGACCACTCTTCTTTGGCGGCGTGACGAATGGCCCTAGAGAATTCCGCGACTTGGAGGATTGAAGCCATCAACATGACGGAAACCTCGACGTCCACGGACGTCAGGCCGGGCGCCAGCGCCCGGCCTTGTTCGCGACGAGGGCATGTCCTCCGTTTGGCCTTGCCTGATTGTCTGCTGCGCTGCCGATGTTCGAAGGGCGTTGGGCGTCGACAATTACGCTTTCCTTGGCATCCCAAAGCGACACGGCCAACGTTTTTGGACGGGGGAGAGAGTGTGGGCATGGCCGGCTGGCTCCACCATCCCGGGATTGAAACACTTGCCGTTTCCTTCCGCCCGGGTCCCTGTCGAGGCTCTGGGGCCACTGCGCGGCTCTGCTCTGGGGGAGGGGGAGGGCGCGCCGGCTGCTTCCATTCCCCTCCCCCCTTCCCTGTGACGATCTGGATCCCCGGGTGGGAGGAGCGCGGGGGGCTAGACTGGCTAGCTAGGCGGGGGCGGGAGCAAGCCCGGACGAGCTCAGGTGTCTGGCATCTGGGCCGGTTTCCTGGTGTTGTTATTAGGCTTTTTCTTTTTTTTGGCTCTCGTGCGATGGAGACGGGGGGGGGGAGGGTAAGGATGCGGTGTGGTGGTTGCGAGGCGGGAGGCCGTTTGCAGAATGAGAATACAGAGTAGGTTCTTCCCCCCTCCTCGCCTGCCGCCTGTTTGTGACGTCAAGTACGTCAGTACGTTGGTTTGTAATAGAAGGGAACGAGACGGGACGAAAGGCGAGGCGAAAGGTTGTCTGCGTGGAACGGCGGGCTGTTGGCAGCGGCGGCGGGGCGGCGGGGTTGGCGATATTTTTAGAGAAACGGGGGCCTTGGCGAGCGGACTTGAGACGTGGACGGAGCTGGTTTCGGCTTGGTTGGTGTAGAATCTCTTGCCTGCGTGATGTCGGCCGCTTGGGAGCGGAAATCGAGGGGGGTTGAGAGTGGAAAGGCCGGGAGCTCGTTGTGGACTCACATCGTGAACTCGTTGGACGGGGTTATTGAGGGCCTTGATGCATTCAATGGTGTTTACAAATCGAACCGTTCGGTTCTTAGTGTGAGATGGCCTCGGTCTCCCGAACCTGTGTCACTGTGGCACTTCAGGTGCTGGGGATGAATCTATACTATAAGTCTTGCTTGGATACTTGACGGTGTGGCGTGTTGAGCCTCATCTCCAAGCCAGGAGGATCCGGAGGGGAACTGTTCAATTCACCAGACAGCGTTCGCAGTGTTTCAAAGTGAATGTAATAATTCGTGATTCGTATGGATGCCCATCTGAGGTGGGAGCTATGTACTAAAAAGAAACAGCCCTATCCACGCCTGAGGGTCTTATGCGTCTCGTGCCTCAGATAGCCGGGCCTCAACCACTCAAAGATTAAACCACATAACGCTCACCCTGGAAAGCCCATCGCTCCCAGAAGGCTCTTGGAAATTACAACTAACCCCGAAACCTAAATTAAATCACACAGTTACAAAGGCGCGTCGGAGGTTCGGACCCTCCTCATAGGTCCTCCGTGATCCACTTGTCCTGTTTGGACAGCGAGACGTTGCTCTCGTCGTACGTGCCCCACGAGCTCTTGAGCGCGACGGCCTTGAAGTCAAAGGTGATGCCCTGGTCGTTGGACCCGGAACCGCGGGTGAGGACGATGCTGTCGAGCGGCTTGTCGGTGAAGTAGAGCATGGTGCCGGCCTCGACGCCGCCGTTGACGTAGACCTCGAGAATGGACCGGTCGAGGATGCCGTGCAGCGTGAACTCGACCTTGGCGTCGGCGTCCTCTTCCGCCGCGGCGTCGAGGGCCTGGACGCCCGAGACGCCAAAGGTGCCAGACCGGTCCCACGCCGTGCTGGCCCGGGCGATGTTGAGGCTTGCCGAGGGAACGCCGTTGTCTGAGCTGCCGGCGAACTCGAATCCGAGGGTGACCGACTCGTCGGCGCTGGACTGGGAGGCCTTGAAAGCCAGCTGGGCCGAAGCGGTCGATCCATCCTGGAGCAGAGACTTGGCCATGCGGACGGTCAGGGTCCACTCGACGGCGGGGTTGAAGTCCCGGATCACGGCGCTGCTGCCCTCGATGCCGGAGACGCCCTGCTCGTCAATGATGGGGCTCCAGCCGGGCTTCGTGGTCGCGAGCGCGGACAGGTCGCCCGCCGGCGCCGACACGAGCCTGTTGGTGTCGGCGTCGAGCCAGTGGCGACGCACGCCGCCCATGCAGTGACGCCAGCCCTCTTGGTCGGTCGGCGTGCAGCACCCGTAGTGGCTTGCGTCGACCGCCCAGGTGACGGAGTAGGCGTCCTGGTTGGCGTCATCGAGGTTCTGGGAGTGGAAGAAGGCCGTGGCGTAGTTGTCGGGGCCGAAGTCAAAGTCGTACAGGGCGAAGGTATCCTGGCGCGCGTGGATGTCTCTTCCCGCGGCGCGGCTGGAGGGTGCGTCGGGCGTGAAGGTGGTGCCGTCCCATTCACCGGTGAGATACCCGACTTGAGCGCTGCCGTTAGGCCCGCCGCCTCCCAAGCTGAGCGTCAGAACCCATTTGGCGCCCACGACGGCGCCCGACTTGTCCTTTCGGGGGATCTGGAGGAACTGGGGCATTCAATGAGGCCGATGTTGCGTTGCGGGTTCCAGATGAACGACTGCGTCCACTTGACCAAGTCCGTCGAGGTGTAGAAGGCAACTTCGCTCTCGCGCGACAGGACCATGACCCAGGTCTTGGTCTCATGGTGGAAGGAGATCTTGGGGTCGCGGAACCCGTGCCTGTTGAGTGAGATGATGGGGTTGCCCGCATACTGGTTGAACGTCTGGCCGCCGTCGTAGGACCATGCCATGTGCTGGGATTCCTGGTCCGGCTCCCACGAGGTGTAGTAGGCGATGATGTTGTCATTGCCGCTGGTCTGGTTGGAAGGGAAGAACCCCGAGGAGTTGTTCCGGTCCACGACGACGCTTCCTGACCAGATGGAACCGTCGCGCGCGGTGGCGGGGATGGCGACGGGGTGGTCAACCCAGTTGTAGAAGTTGGTGGCCGTCGTGTAGCCCCAGTTCTTCACGCCATCGCCGGCGACGTTGTCGGAATCTAAAACAGGTGTCAGTCAAGAGGCTTCCACGTCACGTTCGAGAACACGAGCCATGACAAGCTCGGTCTAGTCGCAAGGCGGTGGTACACGAGATGTCAGATGAGAGCGCAGCGAAGCAGGCATATGCTGATGTACGGACGGAATGTACTGTGTCTCATTGCCCGCCCAAAATTGCGGGGGAGGCTGCCACGCCCATCATCGCGCATGTGGTATTTCCGTCTTTGGCAGAGACGCAGCCCTCATGCCAAACAGGAACTAGCACGTGTGCAGACTGCAGATCCAATGAAATGGACAGAAACGCGCCGGTGACAGTGCACTCACTGGCAAACGAGTCGGCAACCGCTTGTCAGGAACCTGCACATTGTGTTGCACAACTCAAAACCGAACCTGGCTAGGTGCAGAGTTCCCGGGAGGGGGCATGGGCAGGGGATTTGGGGGAAGAGCACAGGGCGAAACACGACCAGAAAACAAACACACTCACATTGATAGTACATGTGCCATACGCCCTTGGAATCGACAAAGAGGCCGTTTGGGTCGTTGAGCCAGTCGGCGGGCGGTGAGAAATGAATCTGGGGCCGCCAGCGGCCGGATCTATCGGCTGCTTGTCTCGCCATGTGTGCTGATGCTTCTACTGAGCGTCGGAGGTCTGGTTGGTGGTGCGTCCGCGGTGCGCCGGAAAAGAAGCCTGGGAGGGCGGATGTCGGTGCTGCGAGCAATGTCGACAGGAGCGAGGTGTAGAAAAGATGCTGCCTCATGGCTGCAAGAGTCCGGCTCCCCGTTCCTTAAAGAGAAAACCAGTGTCAGACTCTCGGCCAAACGGTGCGGCGGCGGGTACCAGTGGCGCTGTACCTGATCGGCAGACTTTGGATTGGGTGAGCAGCGCAGCGTGTCAGCGCAAAGGTAAAGTGGCCTTGGGACGAAGCTTGGCTCAATAGACTTTGAAGAAAAAGGTACGGCTGCTTTTAACGGGGAGAAAACCGTGATGACGGTTTTGTATAATGACGAAGACGTTCGTCTACGGACGAGCTAGAAGAGCACGAATAGCGGGAAGACAGCCTTCGGAGCGAGAGATGACGGCGGGTATTTAATCACAAAGAACCAAACGAAGGTGAATCAACATCGGGAGGGTCTCTCCAAACAATGGAGCAGCCACGACGTCGGTCACTGGCATCGGGAAAGCAAGCATCGGGGATACCTGCAACGGCCAACTAGCCATAGTGACATCGACTAGGCTTGGCCTCCGGCGCGAGTAGTGAATGGCAGCGGTAGCACTGACGATGGTGCAGATCAATGGCAGCAGTACACCGGCGAGCCAAGGCCTCATCGTGATCTCAGCAGGGCTCCGCAAGAGGAGGGGGCAGAGAAGCAGTACTCTGTACATCGTCAGCCAAGGACGCAAAGGGGAAGGGTGAAGGCAGGCAATGGCACGCCATGCGTCCAAGACAGGTCTCATGACTCTCCGCCCGGTTGGCAGGTGGCTGGCTCTCGTGGCCTCCCTTTGAGCGCTCGCAACCACGGCGTGTGCACTCCACCCCGCGGCGAGTCGTGGTGGGCAGCAGCACTTCTCCAACTTTTGGGTGTTGGAGTAGGGAGAAGGGAGAAGAGGCGCACTGGCGGCAATTTGCAGCAGACACACCCAAACAGCTAGATGTTTGACGGTGGATACATCCCCCCGCAAAGATGAGCCGTGATAGCCCCGGGGGGGGGCGGTAAATCTTGAAATGGCCCGCTCCCGTCCCCTAAGGTACTTTCCCCGGATCTCCATTAGTCAGGTGGCCAGGATTGTCGTTGCTTGCACTGCTGACGAGCGGCGGTCTGGCGACTAGTGTGTTGTTTTTGGCCTGGATTGCAGCCCGTGTTCTGCAGTGACATTCCAGAATGGCACCGTGTTTCTGGGGAACGGGTGCGGGGTTTCGTTGTTGGCGGGGGACGGTGCCCGTATGTCGGTCGACGGGACTTGGGGAACAACAAGAGGGATGAAATAAACAATGACCATGTGAGCGAGTTGGCTTTGGCTGTGGCTTTGGCTTCGAGGGTAACGTTTTCCCTTGTCGGAAGCTACCTCATAGCAAGTGACTGAATCTTTGTATTATTTTTGGAGACGGAAGAGGGAGAGCAAGGGGGAAGGTGCAACTGTTGATGGACTTGGGCGCCTGGCTTAAAATTTTTCTTCCACCGGGCACTTTCTTCGCAAGGGCCTTTTCTTCCCTATTTTCCCGTGGGATTTCTTTTACCTTGGGGTTTCGTTTTTGCCTAGAGCCATGTTTGCCTTCCCGCCTTTGAGACGCCGCCCGACAGATCCTAAAAGTGGGTCCTTCGCAAGTGTTCTGGAAGGCGTGCCCCTTGTACCTACCTAGGTAGAAAACAAAGATGGCAAGAGAAACTGCCCCTCATCCGCTGGCACTACCTGTCTTAGCCCGCACATGTTTGACAAAAACAACAAGGTAATTTTTCCGCCCCGTCCTGCAGCAGCAGCAGCAGCAGCAGCAAACGAACGTTTCCTCGGGAGCCAAGACGGGCCAGAAAGAGGATGTTTTCCTTCAAGGGACCAGGCCGTGTTTGTCTCGGCCGTATAGCCATCCAACAAGCCAACTCCACTCCATGGCAAAATGTCAATAGCTGTTCCATGTCTCCGCACCCTCGCCCCTGTCATTCGGAGCGTTCCTCAAGACTCCAACCCAACGACCGACCGCTACCAACGAACCTCATCATCCTACTGGCCTTACTCGAGCGGTCGAGCGGTCAGACCGCCAGATGCCGGACGCTCTCTGATGCGCACCATCTCACCATTCAATCTCACACCGTAGAAGCAGCAAACCATCTCGTCTTCAACGCAGCCCTCAGTTGAAACTGTCTAGATCACCTGTAATCCAGGGTTGCAACGGCGTGCGAAATCCGGGTCAGGACACAGATCTGCGCCGAGTCAGAGACATGGCGGCCACGCGATGCCGCCCTAGCCGCAACTTTTCTCACTCCTACCTCTGTGTTCGCCTCCCATATGAGATCACCGCAGTCATGATACTCGAGTCACCAGTCATTGGCACTTGTCCTGACGTTACCTCGCCTACGTTTCGTGAGTCCGCTCCGGGCCACGAGGCAGCGATGATCTCTTATCCGCCTTCTCCCCATCCTGCCACCATGTCCGCACCTACTATCACGACCTTGAATGACGAACTTTTGTGTCCTGCATGGCATCGTGCTTTGCCACGAGACAATGGCACTTGAGTCGCCGTCGATGCAACGTCTGACCCAGCCCGGCACCGCCGTTGGAGGCCAGCGGCCACCAAAGAAACCATGCTCTTGTCGGCCCAACGTCGGTTTCCAACTTCGTTGCCTGAGTCACCGTATCGAAATGCCTACCCGAGGTTGCATTGCACTTGGCCTTATGAAACTGGCTCTTCTCTGACCGTTGGTCGCTGGGTGACAACTCAAACGCCCTCGACGGCGCACGCCATAGTGTTGCTCGTCTTGACGCATCTTCACGCCCTTGGCATAATGATCTTTTTCTTTTCATCATACCTGACTTGTCACCCTTCACAACACAATTTTTCAAGAGACTGCACACGGTTCGGTGCCTTTCTGCGGTACGCAGTGTCGACGGAAAACGACGCTTCTGCAGGCACATCGCATGCACCCTCCGACATTGGGCACAATGCACGTCCACACGAGACCAATCGCGCTCACCAGCGGCGCCGCTGCCGCAACCACTCTGTGACTTCTCATCGTCTTTCGTGAACGCTCGCCTCTGGCGCGCCTTCGGCTTTCCTCATTTGGAACGTCTCCGGCCTAGCGCTTGCAAATCATCTTTTGATGCCCATCCTCCGCCACTGCAGATACTGCGGCGGGCCTCCGATGCTTAGTCCAACAACGGGTTGTCGAGCTGTCCACTATCGATGGGCTTGCGGTCGAAGCCGCATTGCTTGTTATCCACTCGACCTGATCTGGACTTGTCTGGGCCTGGTCGCTCAAGTATAGGGCTCTAGCTCCGCGTTCGGCGCCCGTCACACTGGAGGACGTTGGGCAAGCGGCGGTGACGACGAGGTGCGGCTATCGTGTCTTGAATAAATTCGACGCTGCCACTGGCGTGAGCAAGTTTGTATTAATCGTGAGCTAAAGAAATTTCATCGCCAAGATAAGCCGACGAAAAGGCGAAGCGGACCCTTGCGCTAAGAAGCCGTCGTCGGATGGTGACCTCCCCAGATATATCAGATGAGCTTGATTCATGCCAGGCACCAGGTAAAGCGAGCGGCCAATGAGGTCCGTACCTGACAGGGCTAACAGCAATCGAGGTTGTCGCTAACAGAGCCATCTGAACGAAAGGTAGGGTGCTGTCGGGCAGCAACCAGTCGCAGTGCACGGGAGAACCGGCCAGGTGGTCGAGATGGAAACTTAGTTTCGCCGTTGATGGCCGATACTGTTGTTTTCTTCAACATCGTCGACTAGAACCTTGACCTTGCCGTCTCGTCACGTCCTTGGTCTCTCAGGCTTCCTCCATCAGCACCTGCAGATTGCCTTGCCTTCTGCGGCTCATTGAAGGTTTGGTCTCGTGCCCACCGACACGGCTTGGTCTGATGGCAACGAGGGCCGGGTTGGGCGAATAACGGAGCACGAAACCAAAAGTCGAGCGGAGCCCAACGCCTGGGTGCTGGGCATTCATGCAGGTTGCCCGAATCGATGAACCGTGAGCCCCAGTTTCGATGCCCCAATGACATCCAATTGGTCTGTCCTCGCTCCCACATCCGCCCACCATGCGTTATCAAACCAATGCTAGCGAATGCTAGCCTCTGCCTTTTGAGGCCCCCCCAATGCACCGCCCCGCCAGATCCAGCACGTCGAATCTGCGCTCGACTTTACTTAAGTAACGTAGCGGCCCGGCTCCTTGTCCGTGAGCAGAAAGGTCTCGACTCTCCGCTTTCCCCCACGCCTGCTCAATCCCTGGACCACCGAGAAACCCGGACAATCAGATCCCGCCACCCCGCGCCGAACATCAGCCTCATCGGAGAAGCTTGTCTCTTTGCAGCATCCCGGATTCAACCTCCTCAGACACCCCGACCGGTTATCTTATCTTGACTTGACTGCCGCTCCCGGACCTGTCAACTTCGATTCGCAAACGACATTTGGGATAACCATCTAAGCAGTCTGCTCCAATAGTACTCTCTCGGCCTCACATACTTGTCGGAATGGCCCGATAGCATCACTACACTTCAACCTCTAACTACCTGTTGCAAAACACCATTACCTCTTTGGTAAACTCCCCGGAGAATCATCGTCCATTCTGAGAGCCGCATGCGGGGAATTTCCCCGCCTACTCTTTGACTCGGTCAAAGCACCCTTACCGCCAGGGCTCGCTGTTGCCTCTGGAATTGTCACCGGCTTTCCGCATCCATACGTTGTGCCCTTTCAAACGGGCCTCTCCTGATCATCGGATCAGGCTACCAACCACTCCCAGGAACCCCTTCATTTTGCCAAGGTGGCGTTTTACCTAGACACCAGTATACAACCCAACCTCGTTGATTCCTGTTACTGTGTGTTACTCGGAAACACCATTTGTTACTGCGAGTACTACTCCGACAACACGACTGCGTCTCTCAAACTCGACTCTGTCGACGATCCACCTCCAATCGGCTTGCCGTCATGGAGATCACCTATGGCACTTGGTGTCATGGCGTGTCCACTCGACACCCCCTCTTATTCTTCGGAAACCATGAGTCCGACTCTAAGCCCCTTAAACCCCGGGAACGAGAATGAAAGCGACAAGGCTAGCGACAGCGGTCTCAGCAATGACGTTGCGACCCCCGCCGCCGCCGGTCTCGACATATCGCGCCTACGTTTCGAATGCCGCTGGCCCAACTGCGGCAAGGTCTTCCGCAGACCGAGTGATTTGACGTAAATCTCACTTCACTTTCCTTCTGTCTCAATCATTCTTTTCAAGAGGCTGAAATACTGCCTCGACTTCCACGCCTTCCGTACCTGGTGAGAACCGTCGACTGACTCTGAGCCACTTCAGCAAACACGAAAGGTACCATATCAAGGAGTACTTATGCGACGAGGCGGGCTGCGATAAGGCCTTCGCCACAATGAAGGACCTGAAGCGGCACAAGAAGACGCATGAGACTCTCGACGGTGACAGCTCTGGGTACCGCTGCCGTGTCCCGGGTGCCGGAAGGCAAAGACCGGGCACGTGTACAACCGCCGCGACAACTTTGTGCGCCACCTTCGGACCAAGCACGTGGGGATGGACTTTGACATTAGGGAAGAATACGACATGACGTACTGAAACGTACAGCTTTTAGTTTTCGGTTTCCAACGCGATCCTTTTAGTACTTGACGCGATGCCGCCCGACCTGAGGTTTCGTCAGCCCCTGAAAGCCCGACGCACTTGATAGTGTGTGGGGTGGGCGGGGAATGCCGAGGGCGATGGTGGATTATTTTGACCCACGTTTCTTTTACCCGGACGCACTTCACAACCAGGCAACAGACGACTTGTCTCTGGCTTTTTATTCGACTCGTGTTTATGGGACGGTTGCTCACTCCTGCACAGGTGGTCGAGCGATCTTGGTATGGGTTTGGGTTATCACCCTGGACCAATGGGGAACTTTAGACTTGGGAAGGTCATAATTGCTTTGTTTTTTTTTGTTTTTTGTCATCATCGTGTTTCCAAACGGGTTTCTCGGTTGGTCGGAGGTTTCCTTTTATGCGTCTCCGGGTCTTTTTTCTGGACATTATCAATGCCTAGTTTACGAAAGATGGACGGCTTACGAGTCGACGGCTGCTTGGATTTTGAAAGAGAGCTCGAGGGATGCGGGGCCAATACCGTGGGTGTGTCTTTGGCAGGGACCGTAATGATACAGAAAAGTCTGTTTTTTGAATTTGACTGGGTGTCTTTTGAACTTGATGGGATCTCCTGTGCTGCGAATGTAGGTACACTAGGAGCACGGCATCGACAAAGGTACATACGCTCAAGCGTATCAAGCCTATGCTTATGCTACATAGAAGAGACATTTTTTTTCTTAAGTCTTCTTAATGAACAGGGCATATAAACGTGGTCCAAGTGACTGAAACCGCATGGCGGAAAGCTGCGTTACACGAGCCCGGTATTCACGCCCTGGATTTGAAGAGCACGCCCTTTGACAACCGGCATTCCATGTCGTCATGGTGTTTTCTAATCAGAACCATAGCCGGCTATGCCGCTCAGGCTGCGGGGTGCCTTGATGGTCAGACTGATGGGAGATTCGAAGGTGTTTAGGAGCAGCAGAGAACACGTTGATGCTCGAGCAGACACAGATACGATGTAGAGTGGTATCTGAACTGCTTGATACCATGCATAGGATCTTTTCGAGCGCTGAACCCAGATCAGAACTCCCGACGAAGATGTGCCCGCATTCACGGCTAGTGTGTTCGACGTTACCCCACCACAAGATGCTCACGGGGTACCATGTACCATCATCAGATGTGTTCATGCCGGAGTACTCCTTCGAGAGCATCTTGTTCTGTCAATAACGTATAATGTCTCAAACAGTGTTGGGTATTCAGCAACCACAGTCAGTACAACGGGGATGCTTGGCGCTCGCGAGTCTTGCGCTAACCCCGTGAAACCTGGTGAAGTTTCTCGTTGATCAGGCCGTCTTCAACATTGCTAGCCAATTCTCTTGAAACACTGGTGAAGATGGTGTTATGAGGTGATGCTCTATGGTCCGGGCCCTTGAGAGGCATGTTTGAAAAATCCGGCAAACGTGTTTTGAGGATGCCCCGCAAGCCATCTTCGACGATTGGTACCAGTGACTTTGGTGTTCAGAGAACTCGGTCAGCAGTGGTGAGTCCTCACGGCGGGCCCGGGGACAGGTCAAAAGGCCACCCAGGGGCATCCACGCCAGCGATATGAACATGCGGGTCAATAATAAACCTTATTTTTGTTGGTTTCATTATGACGTCCGGAACCTCCGCAGTGAAACGAGTAGGTGAGGAGTGTTAACGAACGCCTTGGTCTTGACACTGACAGCAGCAGGGTTGACTATGGCAAGCTTTTCCATCACGGTTGCATTTCAGAAGAAACGCATTTATAACACACGACCAAGATACAGACCCTGGCTGGGCTCAAGTAGGATATGCATGTGCCGTGGAGCACGGCGAGCCCACGCCCGGTGGCCCATGCGGAAGTCTCATGGATTACCCGAAACTTTTCGGGTGGAAGAACGACATGAACAAAGATCAGTAATCCTTGGCCTCGGGACGCGAAACATAGTTTGAAGGGTCATTGAGCCTGTAGTCGGTGTCAACTTGCCGCGAGGTGTATGAGGCGGCCTGGCTTGCGAGTTGTACTACGGACTCTCTGGGCTTTTCTCCGCGAGCAAGGTGTATACCTGAGCCGTTTGCCCAAGAGGCCTCTTCTTCGAACCTTATCAAAATGGCGGCGCAGTGCCGGTCTCAGTGGACCTCGACACTGCTAAGGGATCGAGGTTGCTGCTCATCCGGGCAATGAGCTTGCCTGCGTATTTCGTGTTGTAAGAATCGCTGAGGAAGTGATCAAGAGGTCTAGGGCAGTGGTCGCGCTCTTTGTCTGGAAATGCAGGCCTCGGGCGGGCACGGGACGACGGCGAGTTGGTCGTCCCTTTGGGGGGATGAAGCTGGGATGGCGGAGGGTCAGAGCTTTAGGCTGAAGTGGATGTCGGCCTAATTGGTCGTGAAGTTGCAGACGACGGTAGATACTCTCAATAGATGTGATATGGAGTGGTGTTGTTGTTTTGGTTGCTTGATGAATGAACAGGGATATGGGTGTGGGCCTCCAATACTGAAACTGATGAGTTGCAAAACTATAAGCTGACTGTTGCGAAATGAGTTGGTTGGATGTACCATTGCGAACACCTGTGTTTTCTGGGGCCAATCAACTGGGGAACAATGGTCCGGCTTCTTTTTCCTTATCCCGAGCATGAATTAGGCGGCGAGCCGGCATTTTGTGGATAACAGGGATGCCTCGCTATGGATGATGATGCGAACCGTGGTTGAACAACAAACCATGTTCTGACGACTAGAAACGAAGACGAGGACATAGATGTTTGATTTACAGTTCTGTGATCTCGCCCGATGATGAGTGTGGCAGAAAGATGCAAGAGGGTGCCCTGTTGACAACATCTAACAACCCCATCTCCTTCACCTTTCCAGAAAGCAGGACGTGAAATTTGGTAATTCCGTCATCCGAAATTTGTGTCGTTAGCTCCAAGTTAAACTTTGTTACCGTGGCATTTCCTCCATGCTTATCAACAAAGCAGACTTCTTGTGTTGGGGAAAGGCCAGCGTAGGAAGTAAAGAGTTTGATTCCCAAAGCATACCGGTCGACATCGTCCGTGAAAAGACTTGCGACGTCCTTCGACATGATGATTCCTACGTTCCGGTCAGGGGATTGATCGTATGAGTGGCGATGGTGAAACATAGTGAAACATAGCATGAGGACGCCCATCGGCGCATCCTACAAATATGCAGAGAGGAAATGTGTCGCGCGAAACTTCCACAGGACCACGTACAGAAAGATTCAGCACGGCCGTGTACATTCGGTCTGGCATATTGTTGATGAATGTCGAATAGAATCTGTCCCACAAATGTTCTGGGCTTGGTTCAATTCGCTCAAGCTTGAAAGACTTTGGTAGATTAAAGCCCACGTGGAACGACTTGTGCCTTAATCTTTGAAGCTCCAAGTCTTCCTGTGGAGTAACATCCTTCAGAACAAATATAGACACAACGTCTTCCGCTTTCCGCAAATATTGCCCGGGGGTTTCATCTTGAGTGTAGAGTGACCAAGGTGTGCTGCGAACAAAACCGTTGGCCGTGTGCACGAGAGAGATGCGTGTGGGTTGATATGGGTTGGAAAACCCTAGATCCATAACGTAGACATCTTTCTTGCCTTTAAGAAAGCCGTGTTTTATCATCACGCCTCTGTTGGACAGCGAAAATTCGGGTTTCGAACGTTGGACGGTTGACCTCTGTATTCGAGAACACTCTCGAAACTCTGTTGGCGATCTTGCGAATATGCCTCGGAAGGATTGGAAATTCTCATCATGAACCCTATCGCTGGACAGACTCCTCCATGCAAACAACGATAGATCGTCCGACTCTCTCGCAATCTCCTCTTGAAGGCGGCGGAATGCCTTGTGCCTCTCACCGTAAAGCAAAGGCATATGGATATCGAAAATGCCGAGAAGCGAATAGGCCCGGTCCTCGATGCGCTTCGTCTCCCGTGAGGCCGCCCAGGACATCTTAACCGCAACTGGAGTGCGCCGCAGTTCCGAGGGGGAATGCAAGACTGGCGCAGCTATGTTTGTGATAGTGGAAAGCATCGAAACGCATTTGGACTTTTGGGTGAACATTTCCCAATCCGAGTTGTAAAACTCAACATGAGCCGGCGCTATAAGCTCTTGCAGAGTCCAACCTCGCGTAAACCAACGACAGCCGCCGAACGCCTCAGGACTGTAAGGACTGCCAAATGGTCCGTCGATGTGATACGGGTTTCCCAATGGCGGTAGATCAGAGAGGAAAACAAAGCAGACCGTGGATGATTTGTACCATGCGAACATGGAGTTGATGGCCTCGCTGAGCTCCGCACTGCTAGATTTGTCGATGCAGCAGGTATCAACCCAAGCATACTGTAGACCTCGTCCACGGGCAAGTTCGCATGTTTTGGCAATCTTTGTGAAGCCAGCTTTCTGTCGAGCATGGTCTAGGTCGGAGATGTCCCGGAACGTGACTTCATCCTCTTCCCAAGTGTGTGAAAGGATGGCGTACGCGACCGAAGAAGGTTCATCGATTTCTTTCAAAGCTAAGCTCTTGGTGTCAAGGAGCCACATCTTGACAGACGCTCCAGTCGCTGCACTTTAGTTGGTGAGATAGCATGCAATAGCGATGATTGAGGGCAATACCAGCTTCAACCTCGAAGCGGGGTATTGGGTGATGTTGGGAATTGCACATTCTCATGATTGGCTGCATATGCAGCGTCGCCAAGCCTTGTTTGACGGTGGAAGGTCACTTACCGAGTGCGTGAGATTTGCTGCTGCTACATTATGGAACGCGCACGGGTTTCTGGAAGGAATCTGCACACAAGCATTAGTAGTAGATCGATAGAAAAAAATGCCCGAAAAGATGCCGGAAAAGAGCAGGCGTAATTTGTAGACTAGTCTGATTGTCGTACGCATGACTCTTGTGGCATACATGAGCTGTCAAAAACCCTTCGTCGCAATGACCGGCCTCCTGCATCTAATCATGTTGGGTGGCTACGATATCCAAGTGACAGGCATGTGACGGATTCGCCGTTGGTTTGGCGTAAATGATGCTCGTCACAGCATTCCAACTCGTGAATTCAGTTGCTTGAGCTTCGATTGTAATACTGTTAGCAAGAAACCTCACCCCAGCCCACAATTGGCCGCACAGTCACAGTACCAGCCTAGCCGTCGGAGAACACTCCCAAAGCGGCAAGTTTGGAAGCCAGCGCGGCGTTGGCCGTCGTATGCCGCCTGGAATATCTTGTCTTAATTGGTGCTGACGAAAAAAATCATGACTCTGCCTCTGAAATTGTTGTTAGGCTCGCCACGCACACAAAGTGGATGTTGAAATACACGTTTCAGCAAAGGGTAACGAATGGTCCCACCCACGTGTGTAAAATCTGGGGCTCCATTGGTTAATGTGGAGGCTCCATTCTGGATCATACGCTAGAAACGACTGCACGTCCTTGGGCAATTGGACCCTTGCCTAGCCTGTCAGGTCTGGACGCGGCTTTTGGGGAATGAGACTAGCTAGGGCGCTAGTTGGGGAGACGACGGCGCGGAAGAGAGGGGGGGAAGACCTGGGACGGATTCAAGTAGCTCCTTTACTCTCAGTGTTGCGGTAGCGAGGGAGTTGGTTCGAGGGAGGTGGTCGTGATACAGACGTGGCAGCGGTGACGGAGGCTGGCCTGGATGGTCGGGTTCAGAGAACGGCCATGAGATCGGCGAGTGGTGATGCTGGCATGTTGGACGAGCGTGAAGCATGAACGGATGATCGGTCAATGACTGATCAGATGGTTGGTCGCTAACAAACTCCCTTATTTTAAATGGGACTTTACCAGAGAGCCGGATTGGGTATCCATACTGTTGACTGACGCGCAATGCGCGCATCACCCTTCAACCCTTAATCAAGACGATTTAGGTATATGGGAACCTGCCAACAGGGAACATCGGCAGGGCACGTGGGCGGCACGGCCGAATCACTACGAACGGGCCATCCGCAAGAAGATATAGAGCACGCGACAGCTGCACTCTCTGGAATATCGACATTCCCAGACGGGGCGTGGCCCCAGGCTTGGCAGCTTCTTGGCAGCGGCATCATGGCGCATTTAACGACGGGAGGTTATCGATGCCAAGTTGCCAAGCAGCGGGATTTCCAGCAGGGTTAAGAGCCGCCCGCGACAGCTCGCCAACTACATATCATCGTCTTGCACAGAACAGCTTTGGATGAGGCTACTTGGAGTTGAACGCTTCGCCTCATCTCGCCTCGAATAAAGAATCTGCATTCGACTGTCGAACTTGTTGTCGCTGGTCGTTGTTGATGGACCGAGGGCGCAGTTGCAACGTGCCCCAAAGCCGCGCTGTGATTGGTTAACCCCGAACACAGGAACATAGAGGCCTCTCTTGGGGCTGAATCCACGGATGAATCGGCAGCGCCTAGGCTGACATTGGATCGTTTGGAGAAGTACCTTGGGGGTCAGAGGACATGTCATCCAGGGAACCCGTGGTACCCGTTTTGCTGGGATTGACCGGTCTGAGTCCGGGCGTTCGGTGGATGAAATAGGCTAGAGCCTGGAGTGCCCGTACTTGCTTTCGGCCAACGTGCTGCAATGATATGCCATCAGAGAGTGTATGCCCCCCTGAGACAACACTGTATTTGGCACTATTGGCCGAGCACTCGAATCAGATCAACGGAGGGTCGTCATGCGTTTGCCTCGACGCGGGCTGCGTCTACCGTAGCGGTTGGCGTGAAGCCTATCATCGTAGATGCACCGGCCGAACGGCCAAGCTGCCAGTTGAACGTTGCAATCGCCCGCCAAGACCGGTCGGGCTGTGGCTAAGGATCCTGTTCGATGCGCCCACAAAGCTTGACCAGACGCCCGCTGGGGCCGCAATCGACTCGGTAAGTTCCTCACTCGACGTCGAGCCAGGCTGTCCTAGACATGGGCCACAAGTTAGGAAGTTGATGGAGCAATACCACCCAGATCTTCGGCCATGTGCCTTTAATATGACTAGTCCCCGGAGGCTACCTCGAGCCCATTTTGCGCGGTCAGTAACTCAATTGGTCCCCACGCAACTTTGAGACGGGTGGGTCGTTGCTGCTGGCATTGCAAGCAACCGATTTGATTGCGCCGAACTTCAGAAAGCGGTCGAATTTTCCACATCGTAAGAGTCCGAAAAAGCCGTACGTCTTGTTTGAGCCTTCCGTTGCCGGCGTTAGAGCATAAAAGTGAAAAACGGGCGGCAGCCACTCGGATGGCGATATCTGATCTTCAGCCCAAGTAGAGACGAGGAACAAAGCCTGAGAAGAAAGTGAAAACCAGGCGCCATTCCGCGTTGGTCGCCGAGCACGGCTCCACCCAGCCACACTGCGTGTTCCGCGTAGGAGACATCCCTGTTGCATACAGGACACTACATCCATCGGCCGGCGTCTCCTCCATCAGGCGTCGGCGGCGTCTCCAGCCTGTTGGTCCCTTAGTCGCATCTCGGATTGCCCTTCCTCCTTGGATCCATCCACAGTCGTGGTCTCGGTCCATGTGGATTTTTTTTTGCCGCAGAACACATGCTGCTACCTATGCGCAACCTGGTCGCAAGTCATTCGCCTTGCCCAGTACAATGGCTCCCCCGTATTGTCCTATTCAGCACGCTAGCGCCTAGTCTCCGAGGTGGAGGCTGATCTTGACCCATGTGTCTTTATTGGGTGTCTGTAGTCGTCGCATCTCTCGCCTCCCCTGTAACTGTTCGCTTCCATGCATGCAACGCTGGGAAAGCACTTTAGCTCAGATGGCATGTAGTCTCTCTCGCCTGCTCCCGCTTGGCATATAAGCCAAATCCCCTCCCTGATTCATTTGGATTGAGTTTCTCTGTCCTCGCGCTTCCCATCCTTCCCAGCAGGAACCCAAGGCGACCGATTCTGCTCCCCATCCTTCGGGTTTGAACTCTGCCATTCTTTTCTTCCCGGTCTCAGAAAAGACATCATGGCCGGCGTCATCCAGCCGTCCGAAGCCGCAGGCATGAACGGCAACACCCAGAGCGGCATCACCGCCGCCGAGGTCAAGAACAACAAGACCTCGGGTGGAAACGCTGCATTCCACAACTTCAACAACGACTTCGCCCACATCGCTGACGCCAACGAGCGCCGTCGCCTGGCTTTGGCAGAGATTGACAAGGCGCCTTTCGGCTGGTACCATGTCCGTGCCATTATCGTTGCTGGTATCGGCTTCTTCACCGATTCGGTATGTTGTCCCGGAAGCCACACGGAGTCGTAAAAGCTGACTTCTCTTCTCCCCCAGTATGACATCTTCACCATCGGTCTCGTCACCTCCATGTTGGGTATCGTGTACTTCGGCGGCACCCTTCCCGCGGACTACGACACTGCTATCAAGGTTGCTACGTCCGCCGGCACCGTTGTTGGCCAACTCGGCTTTGGAGCTCTCGCCGACATTGTCGGTCGCAAGAAGATGGTAGGCACCCGACCATATAAAAAACCCTTGTGATTGAGGACTTTGACTTACACAACGATAGTACGGTGTTGAGCTCATCATCATCATCATCGCCACCCTCGCCCAGGCCCTCTCGTCGAACTCCCCTTCTGTTTCCATCGTCGGTCTCATCGTTTTCTGGCGTGTCATCATGGTAAGTGATGGAGTGATGAGTGTCAATCATACAGTATCTAATCAGGAGCTAGGGCATTGGTATTGGCGGTGACTACCCTCTCTCTGCCATCATTACCTCCGAGTTCGCCACGACCAAGTGGAGAGGTTTCATGATGAACGCCGTATTTGCCAACCAGGGTTTCGGCCAGCTTGCTGGTGGCCTCATGCTGCTCATCGTTACCGCCGGCTTCCAGGGATCTCTCGAGACTGCCACCAAGGCTGCTACATGCTCTACTACCGCGCCTTGTCTGTTGGCTGTTGACAAGATGTGGAGAACCATGATCGGCATGGGTGCCGTTCCTGGATGCATTGCTCTGTACTTCCGTCTTACTATTCCGGAGACTCCCCGATACACCTTCGACATCGAAAACGACGTGTCAAAGGCCGAGGGCGACGTCGACTTTTACAAGCAGGGCAAGTGGGGTGAGGCCGACGTTGATGAGGCTGCCCGCGTTGTTGCCCGCCAAGAGGCCAAGGCGCAGCTTGAGGTACCCAAGGCCTCGTGGAGTGACTTCTTCCGCCACTACAGCATCTGGAAGAACGCCAAGGTTCTCATCGGTACCGCTGGTTCGTGGTTCTTCCTCGATGTCGCCTTCTATGGTCTCGGACTGAACAATGCTATTATCCTCAACGCCATCGGATGGTCTGGTGGCAGCAACATGTACCACATCTTCTACAAGACGGCTGTCGGTAACTTGATCCTCGTCCTCGCCGGTGCCGTCCCCGGATACTGGGTTTCCGCCGCCCTCGTCGACACAATCGGCCGCAAGCCCATCCAGCTCTTCGGTTTCTTCACCCTTACCCTCCTCTTCTGCGTCATCGGCTTCGACTACTGGAACCTTTCCGGATCTGCTCTGATGGCTCTGTACACCATCGCGCAGTTCTTCTTCAACGCCGGCCCCAACTCGACGACGTTCATTGTCCCTGGCGAGTGCTTCCCGACGAGGTACCGCTCCACTTCCCACGGTATTTCCGCCGCCTCGGGCAAGGTTGGTGCCATCATCGCACAGGTTGTGTTTGGTCCGCTCAGGACCATCGGAGCCAACAGTGCCCTGGCCAAGACCGACCCCAGATGGAGCACCCCGTGGCTCAACCACATCATGCAAATCTTTGCGCTTTTCATGCTTTGCGGTTTCTTCACAACCTGGTTGATTCCTGAGACGGCGAGGAAGACGCTGGAGGAGCTCTCTGGCGAGGATGACCTGTAAGTTTTTCCCATTCCGAGAGTGATCGATGTTTGGCTTCGGAATTGTGCTGACTGTCTTCACAGTGCTACCAGTGCCATCCCTGTCCACGGCCACAACGAGGAGAAGCGCGTTGAGGAGGGCAACGCCGCCGGATCCGTCTGAACGCGGCAACTTTAAGAAAATTAATTTGTGGAGCCACTGTTGTGGTTTGGAAAGCGATCGATACCCGTAGTGTAAAACCAAAGATTTAGACGTATTGTTTCATTATAGGGAGCCAGTAGACTTAATTGACAGCATTTGCTGCCTTCAATATGGTTTGATCAAGATGGCCGTGAGAAGAGTCCTGGAGCATGGAGGCAACAAACCACTTTAGTTGATCACTGATGTTGCCATTAAATAGACCCATGTCCCCTTTGATACATGGTATTTGCCCGTAACATCCATACCGGCAGATTGGGTACAGTCAACTTCGGGAGACGCCTTGTCTTGTTGAAGAGAGGACAAGACAATGCTTCGCTTGCGAAAGTGCCGTTGACTTCGGGGCATTACATAATCGGTCGTTCACGTGCAGAAAGGAGCTTGGACGGCGCACAGGCTCGGCGGTAACCTTATGACGTTGGTCTCGGTCGCGCGCTGCAGGGTCTTGGACAGTTGCCCACCGAGCGAGTGTCACCCCGCCAAGCGGACCTTCGGCCGCCCTAAAAGTTGCGGGACCACCCCAAGCTCTCGAGGCCTTCCTCCAACTACATCTCCGGATCCAACTTGCACCGCTCTCTCAACCATGGCCGCCTTTCTTCGACAAAAGCAGACAGGCCTGCAGAATGACCTGTCTGCGTCCATCCTTCCCGACCTCTTCGCTCCCGACTACCAATCCGCATATGGCATCAACTCGCAGGTTAGGTCAGTACCTAGCTACCCCACGTTGACGCGCGTCAAACTTCATGGCATTCCACGATGTGCATCGCACTCTGAGGACTCCTACTGATTGGAAACGCTGCAGCTGCTTAGCCTACGATCCGATCCAGTCGCTTCTCGCAATCGCGACCAACGAATCCAAGTTCGGCCCCGGCAAAATCTTTGTCTTCGGCCAAAGCAGAGTCCACAAGGTCATCGAGCCGCCAAGGCGCACATCCTTCCGCTCGCTCCACTTCGCCGCCAACCGACTTGTCTCTCTTGATGCCAAGAACGAGCTGGGAGTATGGGACCTTGACACCGCGAAGCGCATCGCTGGCCTCGTCTGCCCTGGTCACGTTGCCTGCCTCATTACGGACCCCATGCTTGATTGGGCCTTCCTGGGCCTGGCCACCGGAGAAGTCTTGGCGTATGATTTAGACAGGGAGAATATCACGAGGTCGTTCAGGCTACCAAACTTCTGGAAAGAGAGAGACCCCAACGCACGCATCGTTGGGCTGGTGAGCATTGCGCTGCACCCGAGGGACATTGGGCAGATGCTCATTGCGTACACGACGGGCGCTGTTATCTACTCGTTCAAGCAGAACAAACCAATCAAGTTCTTCGAGTATGTACTGCAACCCGGTGCACCCGGCGGAGGAGGCGAGGCGCCAGACACGGTCCGCCGGCCGAGACTTTCGCATGCCCTGTGGCACCCAACGGGCACCTTTATCATGACGGCCCACGATGACGGCAGTATGGTGTTCTGGGACCCCAAGGATGGCCGAATAGTCATGGCCAGAACTATCAATGAGTTGAAGGTCGACCAACCATCGCCGAATGCGGGCCACGGCGGCTATACGGAGCCATATGGACGCATCGCTTGGTGCTGCAAAGAGAATCCGGATGATACTGGGTTGCTCATCGCCGGGGGTCTCAGTCCCGATGCTCCTCAAAAGGGACTTACCTTTATCGAGCTTGGACAAACGCCCATCTATGCCACTTCGTCATGGCAAGTCCTTCAGGATCACTTGCAGGGCAAACGCCACATCACCTTGCCGACACCGCCTGGTGCCCAAGTCGCTGATTACCTGCTCATCCCTCGTTCTTCGCCCTACTTCGCCGGCGCACAGGATCCCATTGCTGTCATGACACTTCTCTCTTCCGGCGAGCTTCTGACCATGAGCTTTCCTTCGGGATACCCCATTAGCCCGACGAACCAGCTGCATCCATCCATCTCGTTTGTTCATCCATATGTCAATAGGTTTGCTGTGCAAACCCTTGACCGCGGACGTTGGCTGGGCATGGTGGAAACCAGAAACCAGGGTGAGCCGCTTTTGAAGGGCGGTGCCGAGGCCGCGAAGCCAAAGCGTAGATACGAGGGTCGTACCATCTTCCAGATAGCTCACGGCGACAGCACGGTGCGGTTGTGGGATGCCGGCCATGCCGATGAAATCGAGAACCCAACCATGCTGCAGGTCGACGTTGCACGAGCGCTCGATCGCTACGAGGATATCGATATTACTGCGATGAATCTGGCGCCCAACACGGGCGAATTCGCGGTGGGAACTCGCACCGGTGAGGTGGTCCTCTATAGATGGGCCGGCAACAGATTCTTCGGCAAAGACCACCACCAGGACCTTCCACCAAACCCAGGATCTCTGACTGACATCAGTTCGAGGGCGGAGCCTGGACTCAAGGAAGGCCTGCAGCCATGGCAGCTGTACGAGATGATGCAGGGCCCCATCTCAGCTATTTGCGTCTCGGATGTTGGTTTTGTGGGCATTGGCTCGGAAGGTGGCTTTTTCACTGTCATCGACCTGCGAGGCCCTTCGGTCATCTTCCAAATCTCCATGACGGAGTTTGCCAAGCACGAGAAGAGATCGTCCTTCTTGAAGGGATCCCACGGCAACAACCAAGGAAAAGAGTGGCCGGTGGCTATCGAATTCAGCGTCATGACACTTGAGGGCGATAACTACTCTAGCATCTGCTGTTTCGTGGGCACCAACCTTGGACGAGTTGCCACCTTCAAGCTGCTACCCTCTGGGAATAGCTACACCGTCAAGCTTGCTGGTGCCCAGCAATTCGACGGCAAGGTCGTGGCCCTTTGTCCCATTCAGGCTGACACTGGCAAGCCTGCACTTGCCACAGGACCCATTGTGGCGGGGCTTAGGAACGGACAACAGGTCCACGGTGTTCTGGTTGCTGGTAAGTTCTTTGAACTTTATGGGACTGCTTGTAGCCTTGAGACTGACAACACCCAGTGACACAAACCGAGATCCGAATCTTCAAGCCTGCAAGCGCGAAGGGCGCATCCAAGACTTTTGACGACATGCTGTGCGACGCAGCTAATGTCACGGAATTTGAGCTTCACGGCGTCGCCATAGTCGGCGTGTTTGGCGACCGGACCACCCGTGCCTTCTCCATCCCTGGACTCAAAGAGATTGGCAAGGCCCCGCTCCCCATGCTCGACAGCAGCCGTAGCATCTCGTCCGTAGTGACGCAGACCGGTGACATATTTGGCTGGACCGGCCCCAGCGAGATTGCTGTCCTCTCTGTATGGGGTACTGGCAATGACCTTCCGGTCAGCGCGGATGTTCTCATCAACCCCGAACTTGTCACGCCGCCACGCCCTACGATTTCAAATATCCAGTGGCTTTCGGGAACGCAGCATGTGTCTCCAACTGACCTCGACCTTCTCATCGACCCCAACCGTCCTCCCAGCAGGCGGATGGTCGCAGCAGCAGCAGCAGAGGCGAGGGCCGCACGGGCAGGTGGGCAAGCGGGCCCAAGCAACGCCGGCGCTAGCGGCAGCAACGAGGGTTGGGGCGACTATTTGACTAGGCAGCTCAACGAACGCACCGAGAGGCTTAACATTATGAGTGACAATATGGATAACCTGCAGAACCAGAGCCAGGGATGGGCAGATGACGTTGGCAAGTTCATCAACAAACAAAAGAGGAATGTCGTGCTCGGCGGTCTCAAGAGCAAGTTCTTCTAGATACCAATGACGAAATGATTAATGGCTGCGACGGCCGAGAGGGGTAATAGTTCTGGCGCTTAGTATGATTAGGGCGTTCAGACATGGAAAATCAATTTGATTTGGCATTACGCTCTACTATTGCAAAAGGACGCCATTGCACTTGGAAGCCGTTCCTCGCTATCCATACAAGTCCTCTTGTGTTCATCGCCCACCCTTTCTAACGGTCTCGACCTGTCCTTCACCTCAAAGCCACCAGGTTCAATCACCACCATCCCATCCTCTCTTGGGTCGCACTACCTTGACGGGCGACCCATCAAACATGGTGTGAGTATATGGACCAAGAAAGCTTCTGATAGTACAGCTAGGCATCAATTTGGTCCGCATGGTGGGGTCGGTTGGCATCTCATCGACCTTGGCCGTTCCCGTGGCGCGAGGGTTGGTTATTGTTCTGATCAACGATTCGTTTGGATTAAGTACAACGGAACTTGAAGGATCTGTCGTGTCAGCGAACAGATGAATAGTGAGAGGAACTTGCCTGGCTATGAGAGCTTTGATAGAGATGGGTCTGAGAGGGTTGGGGTACCGGAGCCAAAACGACTGGCGTTGTCTGAGTCCTAGCTTGGTTGTCAGTGATAGGGCGGGCGCACTTACCTTAGTGCGTTGTGTTTCTTTTGTGGTTCTAACATTGGAGGGCTTCGTGATTAGAGGTAGAGACCTATCAGGGAAAACTTACAGCTAGAGATGGCAGGCTTTACTAGATTCTCATGAGATTGGTATGCCAATAGTCAGCTATTAAAGAGTGCAACAGAGACAATTAGACAAGCTGTTACAAGCTTAATCATGGAAGGAGATGCATGCTACTAAAGTCAGCCATTGACATCAAATAAGGGGCACTTACAAATCAGTGTCGAGAGTCCTTTCACATGGCACCGCAGGCATTTGGTTTCCTGTTAACGTCAGTAGGGTATAGGGGAGCACTCACGATAGTTCGAATAAGGCGTTTCATATTGGAGCCGGGCAATCTATAGTCAGCGTTTTACAACAGGGGCGGAAGACATACTACTGAAATGGAATGTAGACACCGCAAGGTGTCTTCAGAGTTGAACTATCTGTCCTATCTGTCCGCAGTTAGTGAAGAGAGTGCCACTTACCTTGGCTCCGGAGACGAGTTCAATGAGGTTTTGAATGCTTGAGAAGTACTGTGGTTGGTTAATGTGGAACATCAAAGGGGGACTTACACTAGTGTCCGGAAAGGTAGCTTGAAGACATCTCCGTGTTCGAAACCCTGAAATTTGTCAATAAATTGGCGCTGGGCGGGACGTACCTTTGAGAAAATGAAGGGGTACGTAAGCCTCTATTGAAAGCATCAGATCCCGGTAAAGAGAGATGTAACAAGCTGAGACACTGGGAGTTAGCAAACTTGAGGGTGAGGAGCACTCGCCTGAAGGAAGGAAGGTGACTGATCCTCGGTGAGATGGTGCCGAGGATGAGAGAAATAGGAGCATCTGGTGAGAATCGAAGCATGGGATATATAGGCCTCGCGTTGAAGACAATCCTCGACGCCGTTTCATCTTCGGTGACTTTGTCTGTTGACTGTGGCTGAACGGGAGCTGAATCGACAGAGACTTTGTTCCGCGAAGCGAAACGGCCTTAGACGATCGAGTCGTTGGTCGCTGCTGAAAGGGGAGCCTGTCGCAGATCTCTTCGAGGCAGTGTTCTTTGTATTGCTGCTCCTTTTAACGGGTTGAATACGACAAAGACCTTCAGTGTTTCCGCTTGTTGTATCGAATCCTGAAAGCGACTGCTCGGGCCTCTTTCTTCAACGACAACCAAGATGTTTTGGCCCTGTCTTGTAAGGTTACTCCGCTGGCACTTTAAGGGCTTAAAATAAACAATAGGTTCTGACAAAGAAATGCAGAGTCTGGCACGATCCTCTACCCAAGCAAGCTCGACGTTTCCTTATACCGTTGGGCAAACCATGACGCCAGCAGCAAGAACATTCGTCTTGGACGGTTCACTTTTCATACTCGAGAAACCGAGATGCTCGGGTTATCGTGCGTGAGTATCTAGCCACTGCCTCCTGCAGTGGCTGGACAGAAACTAACGCAATAGGAACCGGTGGGGAGAATGCCAGGATCCTCACTGAGACAGGCGGCTACACCAGGAGTCAAGCGCCAAGTATTCCTGGTTTGCGGAGGAACACAACAAGCGTGTCTGTTTAAACACTTGAATTCATTCTATTGGACCTCTACGAGATACTACACACAACGTCCTTGGGGCGTTTGCCAACGGACCTGTTGTTGGGAGCTTGAGGTAGCAGCCCCTTCCTCCTGGCCAAGGCGAGGTGGAAACGCTGTATTCTGGCAGAGTGAGAGAACAGTTCTTCCACTGGGAAGAGATCCTAAAATCTCGCAAAATTCATTGACGGATCACACTCTGACTGATTATGGCAATAGCTAAACATGTTACTACCAACCTCGAAAACTGCATATGAATGTATCGTCAGTCATGGGCAGCGTTTTGATGTTATGATAGTCTCTGCAACAGGTTCACTATACGAGGGAATCTAGGCACCAACTGTCTTGATCGATATATGCTCAATGTAGAATTCCCATCTATAGTATGTCACAGTGCTATCTTAGTCCATGTCACTATCCCATCTCCAGGACCTTGCCGCCTATGCGGAGGAAACTTGAGCAGCGGTATGCATAACCCCAGTCGTCGCGACCCTCGGCGCAGCCGAGTCCGTCTCAAAGACACTAACATTCGTGACGCCCGAGTCCCGAACCCGCGTCTCGTCCTCTTCGTCTTCGTCACTCCCAACGACAAACACATCCTCGTGCCGAGGCAGCGGCCCGTCCCGTGGGAAGCTGTGCGCCGGCGCGCGCTCCTCGTCCGCCGACGCACGCTCGTTCTCTTCTGCGATCTGCTCCAGCACGCCCTGGGGGAGCCTGCCGTGCAAGAGGACGTAGCGCGCGGCGATCTTGTGCAGCCGGCGGACCTCGCCGCACTGCACGTCGCGGATCTTAATCACCTCAGCGAGCTCCTGCTTCGTCAGGTTGAGCGAGTCGAGGTCCGCCTCGCTGGCCAGGCGGGCCTTCCAGAAGCGGATGCAGTAGAGCGCAGCTAGGAAGAAGCCGATGGCGCAGAGGACGGAGACGACGGCCAACGCGACGACGATGCGCCCATGGTCCGAACAAGTGTTAGCAGAGGCGTCGCTTTCGGTGTAGCGGCGGGCGAGGTGCGCGCGGTAGGCTTCGTAGGGAGGCATTGTGTTGCTTTTCTGGTAGCTGTTAGCGAGGGGTTGGTTAGGGATGGTTACGTTACTGGTTGGGTGTTGGTCTTGAGGCTTGTTGCGCGTTTGCTGTGTTTGATGTGTTGGAGAGAAGGGGCAGAAGAGGACTGAGAAGCTGTCTGTTTTATAAGAGAGTTCCTAGGGGATCTCGAGGATTCTGGACAATGGGGTGGCAATGCATTGTTCGCGGACCCTATTGAAAAACATTCCCGAGTCTCAATGAAAGAAACAGTCGTTGTTCACGACGAGGACTCTGAGTGAAGACGAAATGGCACACAAGGCCATGGCGTGTTCAGACTTTGGATTGTTCAGGACAAAGCCATTAGCGGGAGGAAAACGGGGTGCCAGGATCATGACCTGGCAGACAGCAGGTCGCCCGAACCCCGAAAATCTCTACGATGAGGCTCTTTGATGAATCAGTTAGACGCATTCCAAATCGGGTATTCCCTTTGGGTTCTCGATGCAGGACCTCGCAGGGATGTATCATTGTTGATTTTGCTGGGTAAGGCGTCAAGGCGGCCGGGTCTTGCAGCTTGCTACGAGAGCACATAAAGGCGGTCTGGGAGATTTGCAATAGGACATTAGTGGCCGTCGAAGGAAAAAAGCAAAAACTGAATGTACGAAGCTCAGCGCAGGATTCAAGGGGTGTGGATACTGAATGGCAGATGCAGGAGGGGTGGGCATCAACGAGCCAGTCTCCTCCCGACAGCACATCAACAGGCAATGGGATTCGTCATGGACGATATGTCACGCATCTTCCTGGGGTTGGGAGCACGAATTGGTGGCTGGGACCGCTGCCAAAGACGTTCATGCCCCGCATCTCAAGGGCTTGTTGGTCGATGACTGTGCCGCTGAGAGACGGCCGAACCATGCTCCTGGGGGTGTTTGCTCAATTGATCGCGCAGCTATCCCTCAATGACACTCGGCGCTACAGAAATTGGATGCTGGGCACTGAGGCCTAGTATGAGACATCTGCATGTGTGTTGTGCTTCTTGATGTTCAGTGTCCGTTTGGCGTCGAAAGCCCTTCTTTCGGCGGCATGGCTTCTCAGACGTGGGGTGAGTGGCAGAAGAGAGGAGCAGCGCGCCCGCATATGGTCCAAGCAGTCGGTGACGCCGGTGCTGCTGTCAAAATCTGAGGCGTCAGTGAGTCGCTGGGGTGCCGATAAAGAAGAAATACTCAATCGACATGAAGAAAATGGAAAAAAGCAAAGGGAGAGTTGCTGTCGATCTGCGATTGCAGATGATGGAGTCCGTAACAAGCCTAAGCAGGTGTCGGTCTGCAATAGAGTCCTGCATGTCTTCACCGCCACGCCGTCCTAGATACGAGGTCGTTACGGAACTTCTTGCTTAGGAGATTGGAGGGGTCAGCTGTTGGGCTCGACTGACGAGGACGACGTGTTTCAGACCATCAAATACAGCTGGTTGATAGACGTCTTACTATCCGTGAACGGCATAGCCTTGGGCCATGATGCTAGGCGGGTAAACTGGTTGACTGCCCGCAGGCCCAAATGCGGTTGGTCTTGATGGGTACTGGACCGCAGGCTTGGTGGACCTCCTCATGTTGGGGCGGTCGCATGTTGCAGACCTGCACCTAATATCCCATATGCAAGCTTGAAATCAAATTGGAGTACATGATGCACAGCTGACAGCACTTTGAGTGACTGGGACACGTGAATCAGGGCGTGATTTCCAATGCAGCGTAGGTTCTTCTCGAGGCAGCATCGACTTCGTAATCAAACCAAAGTATGATGAGGACTGCGGGCGTGAAGGACAAGCTAGAGGTGGCCCGCGACACGGGTTTGCAGCTCGACGAAGGGTTCGCCCTAGTCTCAGTGGACGCAATTCGACAGCATGCAATTTCGCATTGTTTCGATGTCTCGGGCGCTGACAGGCTCATCCAGCAATGTGTAACGGGGCGAATGATCGTGAGGCACAACGCCGGAGAATACAACTTCAAGTCCGACAGCCATGACGCGCCAGCCGTTCATAGTCCTTGGGTTAGCAAGCCCACCACCATAGGCGATCTTGGCTGTTCAATACGCACGTATGAAGCAAGATGGTGCTCTCGGACCGGGAAAGGCGATGGCAGTGCGCCAAGGGTTATGCCGGGTGGCGTGTCGAAAATTGTGATGTGAATTAGTGACCCGAAGCTTGCGGGTGTCAAGGTTGCTTGTACGTGGGTGAGACGTTTTTTGTCTTGGGGCCCATTAGCTAGCGAGTAGCTGCATGCCGTCACTTCATGTCAATCTTCACATCCATCTGATGCGCATCTGAAAAGAAGAGGCTAGAGTCTTGAACCGGATCCATCGTAGTGTTCGGGAGCGATGCAGCCGTTCATCGCATGTCCTGGCAAGAGAACGTTGCCCAACGCCAAGGCCAGACATGCCTGCCGGTGAGGACGGAGATGGGTAGGCAATGCCATGCAATGCCTTGATCTGCATTGCCAGTACAGCGGGCCATGGTTCTCGCAACAGCTGCAGGCTCTTTCCGGCTCGCGGTACGGCAGACGACGAAGCATGAAGGGGTCTCGTTGAATAGTCAGGGTAGGGGTAGATTGCCCTGATGCCTGCCGTAGACGCTTGAGCTTGCAAGACGCCGAGGGGAGGGGATGCGCAAGCGTACTGCATGATACGTTTTTCGGATGATTTGGCAGCTGCCACGACCCTCGTCTGGGGGATGCAAAACAAGGTCCCATGTCGGCCGGTACTGGTGATGTGCGGCATTGTACGCCGATGGATGTGTATGTGGATCTGAACGTGGGAGACGGATGGACACACCCTGCCCCACGATGTAGAGTCGCGGCCTTTCAGTTGAGGGCGCGAGGCAGGATAGGAGCTAAGCTGCCCTGTCGCCATCGATACTAGGCGCGGTACGTACTATCAAGTAAGTACACGGTAGCGCAACTTTTGACAGGGGCCATGCTTGCACACGAGAGGCAGGGGCCAGGAACAAGGCACCGAGGGCAGGAACGCCTGGGGGTTTCGCTCTCATATGACCGGTAATACCTACCCTCCCCATTGTCTACCTATCCGCGCTTGCTCGGAGCAGGCTTGTCACGTACCTGACTTTTTTTTTTGCCGTCAATTTCTTCTTCTCCCTTTGCCCGGGCGAGGGACAAGAGATGACAGGAAAGAGCGATCAGAGGGTACCAGGCTCGTTGTTCACCCCCTCCATGCTTGGTCGGTCTTCTTCACCGCCATCTTCCGCAACCACTTCCGCCCTTTTTCTTGCACACCCACCCTCGCAATATTTCCTCATCAGAACGCCGCCTTACGCCTTGCCCCTTCCCCAACCCCTGGCGGACAAAACATACATACTACAATGTACTTTTCTCTCGGATCAACGCCCGCCCTGGCCAGAACATCAACGCTAGCTTCTTCCCCGATTCTGCCAATCTCCAACATATAGCCCACTGTCGTTTCACGTGCGGTCGTCTGATGCTGAGCTGTCCACCCTCGTATCTTACTCCTGTTACCAAGCACCACTCGCCAGCCACGTACGTCCGCTCATCTCTGCCTATCGCCCTCACCTCCGTCCATCGCCTTTTAGCCCTCTCTGCGGCCCTCGCCAGCCTTTGCTACTCCGGCCATTGTCAGTCACAGCTCACTGTCCTTGAAACAACCAGCCAGACGCGACATTGCAATCTCCCCGTGGCAGCCATTGGCCTATGGATGCACGCCAGTCTTCCTCAATCTGAGGCCCCACAGCACGTCGACGCTGGCTGCTTGATTGAGGCCACGCCCTTTTTTCTTTCTAGAACACCTTCTCAGTCTTCCATGTCACCCGAGCGATGCGATTCCGTTTCCATCTCCGTCTCCGTCTCCGACTGTTGCCACGCCCTTCTCACCCCATGACGGGCTGCTCGCATTCTCCTTGCTCACCGCTTGAATCATCACTCGGTTTTCTTCAATGCCAGCAACGAGAGGCCGAGAAAACTCGTCGCCCTACCCATTCAGCTGCATGAGTTCGCATTTCGGGACGGGGCAACATGGCTGCGAACCCGTGGTTCATGTCTCTCCCCGCCTTGCAACACGCCGCCCTGTTCCCCTCTTTTGGCTTCGCACTCATCACCACCCACTGCCTTGGGCCATGATGCATTGAGACGCCCGCAGTGCTCAGGCCTACAGTGTTGACGAAAATTTTTCTTGGTCATCCACGGTTGCTTTAGGGGCCTTTTTCGTGCGGTGTCGTGGTCACCTACGCAAATCCGCCATTTTGGCTCCAAACCGTCCCTCTCATCCTCTCACAGCCTGCCTCTGGTCCCAATGTCCCCACCACCTTGTACTTTGGTCCGATACTGGTAACTACTTTTTTGTGTCAGACATATGCATGGCGCAGGCTTTCCATCGTAAAAATTTGCCACTGCTTCCCTTGTATCCCTGGTTCCTGGCCTATTCCTGTTCTGTCGGACTGCTAATACCACAAACAAGAGATTAGATTTCGGGGGGGGGGGGGGGTGTGATGAGGGCCGAATCATATTCGGCACCAGGACAGAAACGATGCCAGCACCAGACGCAATGCCTTGGAGGTAGCAATTGCACTTTCATCTGTACGTGTCCTTGGCTGCCGTCTGTCTCTGTTCTGTCCAAGATGGGTGCTCTTGATCCTGCAGATATCACCACGGTACTTGTTACCGTGTACCTTGGCACACTCAGTTGTTCTCTTCACCTAGTTACTTATCATCATGTTGCGCTTCTCTACATTTTGGCCGGTGCTCAGAGAAGGCGTCCAACATCTGGTTCGCATATGTTATGTACCTATCGTCCCCTTCACCGACCTCTTCTACAAAACCCGGCCTTGAGAACCACACCGGCCCATCAACCATGCCCCCATCTCTCTACTTTCTCTCCACATCTTTCTTCTGGACCTTGTTTTCTGTAGCAAAAGACTTTAATTTGTAGCATTTTTTATTTCGTTACAAAGCTGCTGCCCAGCCATTCACCACCCGTCCTTCGAAAGTCATCTTCTATTTTTCAGATACCCTCCAATCTTTACCATGCCCCCCAGCCACACCTCTTCCATGGCTAACAATACCGGGAGCCAGTAAGTCTTTTTTTTCTATGCCAGCTGCGCCTATCTGCTGCTGAGTAGCAGCTAACATTGAAAAGGAGCAGCTGGGCTGCTAGCCGGCCTACACCCAACGAGAAGCCCTCGAGAGACGCCCGCCTCGACAAGTTCAACAACGACAAGGACTACGACCTGGCTCATGGAATCCAATCCGGTCAGCGACGGCCTCAGACACTCGAGGGTAAGCTGGGTCAACATTTTGCCAACCTACCACGAGCGACTACGAACGGACATTGAAGCCCCCGACAAGGCCCCTCTTTTGCATCAGCAGCTGTGTACGACACGTCAACTCCTCTCCTGAACGACACTGTATCAACACCATCATGTTGCAACATTTATCTTGTGGACTTTTCCTTTGAGCAACTCGGTCAGGGATAGATAAAAAAAAGTTTTGCTTTGGTGTAATGGGGGTCGTGAAAGGATCATGTATGATTTTAGTCATTGGTTTCGGAAGACAGCAGGAAGCATCACATTCGATTTGATTGTTGTTTGCATTCTTCGTGCATCATGTGAACATCCACTCCTGCACCTCTACCTCGTCATTGCAGATTACTCAGGATCGCCAACAGACTCTGGATGCTGCTCAGGTCCGCGAGGCATGGCCAGACGGTGACGCATAGCGCGTGCAAGTATACGACGGACACGCGCGTCTTGGTTCGACTCCACGGAACAGGACACTCCCGAGGTAAGCCACGGGTCGTTGGTCGAGCATCCGCCATCAGTCCAGCAAGCACGCGCGGCCCAGCATCGACAACCCGGACCGGATTCTCTGTCGGCTTGGATACCTGAGGTGGGATTGCATGCTGACTGGGGACCGCCACGTACCGATCCAGTCCTTGGGCTCCCTCCCTGGTTCAAACCCCCACTGTTTTCTCCCGGGCGCGAGGAAGCTGGTGGAGGGATTGCGGCAAGGATGTCCGCTTAGCGCGTGCAAGGAACTCCCGAGGCGGCCCACTGACCCCGCGAAACGGGGGGCTGCTAGCAAGGTAGGCTGGGGGGGAGCCCCCTCGAGCCATCCCCCTGCACGCCTGGTAGGGCGATTGTGATGTGGTGAGACCCAACAAGGGCCCGATGCATCGCTAGCCACTGTGGCCCCTTCGAGGACGGGAAGCTGGGGAAGCGAACCGCATCTGGGTCTTTTGAAGCCCTCTTTTGCTCAGCTTGCATGGCTCCGAAGCCTGGCCGCCGATCAAGCTCACCGATGCAGTCTAAGTACTGCGGCACCTTACCAAGCGAGCCATGTAGTATTGTAACATTTCACTCACCGTCGCATCATCAGCCCCCGTTCGGCAGAACATGACGCGCACAAACACCACTGCAAACTCATCAGCTAGCTACGCCCCGGGGAAACAACCGCAGAGCTACGGCGTTGAGAACGCTTGGCCGATTGACAAACCGCCGAACCGTTTCGCCACCGAGTATATGCAAAAGGGAAGCAGGCAATTGGCTCGTCCGTCGTGTCCCGTCAGCGGCACTAAAACCTGGTTTCCACCTTCGGGACGCCTCGGCGCCAGGAAAGGGGGGAACCCGGCCGGCCGGTGACAGGTGGACCCACGGCCTCCCGTCTGTGGCACCGCACGGACGACGTGGACGGCGGCAGCCACACCCCTCCATCCGGTGCCGTTGGCGGGGTGGTAACGCCCTTTGACGCTGAGCCGAGCCGCCGGGTCAAAGGAACGTGGGCGGGCGCCTCGAAGCCACGAGGTTGCGAGATTGGTGGCGCCACAAGTGCGGGAGTTGAAACCATCCATAGTTCGGTCGCGATGGGGGATCAGGCAGCTGTCTTGGTGCAAAAAAGCAGTGAGGATGACCTTGACTGCAGTCGAGGCCACCTCTGGTATTTGGAGATGGTGGAACTGGGCATGTAGTCTGGTGCCCGGTTTTGTGCTCGCCATTGGGTAGTGCTGATTGATATCGAATGAAGGTACTTCCACTTTCCAACAGCGAAACAGGTTGGTACAGGTGCTCAGGCATTCAATAGCGGGGTTGCTGGGGTCCCCTCGCTGCCGGAATTACATGTGCATTATCTGTTTGAATTTTTTTATCACATCGTCACTATTTAGTTGTCAACCGGAAAATTAACCCTCAGCGGTCACAAGCCCGTCCACGCAACGGCGCCGGGACGGCGTTTTGTACATCCGCTTCCCCGGTCATCCCCAGTCCCCCGTCGTCCACCCACGGACCCCCGACGGCGCAATTCCGCTTTTTTGGACTAATGAAGGAATCCAACCATGTCGCTGTCATAATCGAGCGGAAAGCCTCGTCGGTTTAAGCTGCTGCCTGCTTTCGTGGAAATGAGCCGGAAAGCGGGTGCATGTGTGAGACGCACGGGACGGCGCAGGTGGGCGATCGTCGCCGACGGCACCGACGCCACAACTTCCTTAATCTCGACGACGCCTGTCACCCCCTTGCTGGGAGATTTTATAAAAGACGGATATTTCTCGAACGAGGAAAACAAGGAGATTTTTTCTTCATTTCGTTTTTGAGGTTCTGATTGTGTCATTCCTTCTCTTCATTCTATTGCGACCCGGCCCTGGAGGTTCATTCTATATATCTCGAATCGTCATTCCTTTCAATTCTTTGGTGTTCAGTGCCAAGTCTCATACAGGATTTTCATCGTCTTTCTTGGAATACGTCGACCTTTGCTTAGAAACAATGTGGTCCTCGCTCACCCTTGCACTTACGCTGGCCGCCGTCGCCGAGGGACACATTGCAGCGTGGGCGGATGGCATGTACTGCCGAGTGAGTTCATCCGAGTCTTTGCAAACGCTCTCCTTGCAACCCAGCACAGCTGTGATGAGGCCAGTTTTAACCCAACACAGGGCGGCAACAACTCCGCTGTGGACGAACCCAACACCAACCTCGTCGTCAACCCGCTCTTCCAGCTCCCAAAGGCAAAATGGTGGATGCAGGCCGACCGCGGGTGCAACAAGGTGCCCCCTCCCGCAGGCCAGTTCCTTGAGCTGCCGGCACGCGGTCAGTTTACCGTTGAGCTGGCCGGCAACCGGGGCTGCACGACGCTCTCCAAAGGCGGCAAGGGCGCGACGCAGTGGCCTGACTGCAGCGAGCACCCGGAGGATTGGCATTCGCCGGCACCGGGCAAGTGTCTCGTCGATAACCCCGATAGGAAGGGCGGGGAGATGCATACCCAGAACTACACCACCACGGCCGGCACGGCCTTCGCCATCAGTTACCAGTCGGACATCACGAAAGTGACGATGGAGAACCTCGTTGTATTCTCCGTTGCCGAGCAGTGGGTTGGCCCCTCCGATGCGAAGTGGGAATTTGGTGACTGACGACAGTGACTGCCGACTGCAGCACTCCTTGGAAGCGCTTGACCTCATACCAGGTCCCCGACTTGCCTGCTTGCCCTGAGGGCGGCTGTTACTGCGCCTGGCTCTGGGTTCCGGATGGATGTAAGCCTTGCTCCGCACCCCCTTAGAAACTACGACTGACTCATACCAGGTGGCCAGCCAAACGTGTAAGGTGTCGTGTTCAAAAAGGCTCGGTGCTACTTACTGACCAGATCCAGGTACATGCAGAACTTCAGGTGCAAGGTCACCAACCCGGCCCGCTCGAAAAAGCTGGGCGTCGCAAAGGCCCCGGTCGCTTGCCGAGACGATTCGAAGAAGTGCGTCGCTGGTCCGAAGCAGATGATCGCTTGGAACCGTGAGTTGCGTTGTTGGTGCAGGGGTTGACCTTGCTCAATGCTGACGGTGTTTACAGAAGCCGAAGGAAACAACGTCGCGGACATTGGTTACAGCCCGGGATACAACGCCAGGATGGGCTTCAAGCCAGGCGCTCAGACGGACATTTTTGTCTAGCGGCTTCTCTCAACTCTTGTGCCCGACCTGTCTGCATGAGTCCGGATCGGGACAGGTCAGTGTTGACCGAGAACACAGGGCCAACACACCGGTGACATGGGGTTTCTGCTCAGTGCAGGATCGGGCGGCTATCGCTTTCAACTTCCTGTACATTTTTTATATGCCTCCTTGGCGCAAGCGGCGTGATTGGTGTCGCAAAGAAAAAACGTCTTTCTCGTTTAGTCCGCGTGCGGAAAGCCACCGTGAGGCTCATCGTGATGACGCTCAGCACGCCTCGGCAAAAATTGCCGGAATGCAGCCGCAAGCAAAGGGGCAATGTTTGCTCAGAGATCGACGTGAAGCAAAACATCGAGGGGCATGCTCTGATCTGAAATCTGACATCGCAAAATGATCCCGCCGGCTTATATGCGGTTCGGGCCTTTGTAAGAGCGCATACGTACCGAATCCACCCCGTGCGAGGGAACCGACCAGACACAGAACCGTCGAGCGCGCAATCTCGTTGAACGCTCGCAGACTACAACGCGAGCAGGCTGTGCCACACCGGCGAAAAGGTGATGCTACACCGACACGCGCCCTCTCGCCGGGGCATGGTGAGATGGCAAACTGTACGAATGAGGGAGTCTGTGGTTGGTTTCGTCGTAGGGCCGAGCGTTTGTATCCCCTGTCATCTGAAGTCAACGAGGGACGACAAGGTAACCCCGCCAAAGCTACCGTACCGCTATGACGCGAGATGACCCTGGAACGGCGCGGGAACAGACAAGGCCTAAAAACGCTAAAATGGACTCCAGGTCGCCAGCCTGCATCGCCCATCAACGGCTTGCGGGGGACCAGTTCAGGGATTGGCTCACAAAAGGCCCTGCCCGGGCCGGGAGCACAAGCCGATGTCGTCGAGGCGCGCTTTGCGCGGAGACGCCATCGATGTTCCTCGGGTCGTACACGGGGAAAATGGTCGAGGTATCCGTTCGTCGCACACTGCGCCGTGTACCCCTCTACCCTGCCCAGGGAGCAAACAAGCACGCTATGCAATGGGTACGGGGAGCCCGGTCAAAAACCGAGCTCCGGCGTTGTAATTCCCATCCATCGCACTGCCTTGAGCCCAACTCAAATCCTTGGCCGACGTGTCGACAGGGGTGTGGTACAGCTCCAATGCAGTGCTCACGATGTCGTCCCTACGCACGCTGGTGACAAATAATGTGCCGCTTACTGATGGGCTTCATCACCAGCGCGAGAGGGTTTGGCTGCCGAATGACCCAATTCCACCGCACAGAGTCCCCGCCCTTCATATTTCCAGGACCGGGCTATTTTTTGGTATTTTTCTCGTCCTTTTTGACCCTGGTCCGACCTAATTACCGCTGTATGACTGCAAACCTCTGTGGTGTCGACCAGCACGTTGTTTTGTCACCCCGGTGCCACGATGTCGATCAACAGAACAGAGGTATGGCCTCATGCTCCAGATCTGCGAGTAAAGGCTTCCTGAAGCAAACGGCGGTGGACGAAGAGCCTGTCCTTGGCCCTCAGATTGCTGGCACCAATGAGAAGTGTGTCCGCCAGGAGCCAGGCGTTCCATTGGCCATGCACATGCAGGCTCTCGCCCCCAAGTCGCATTCCCGTGCAGCCAACTGATTATGCCGTTCTTCCACATGCGCAGCACAGGAAGGGTAAGTGCGGCGCGGCTACAGCGAACACCTGGCCTCAAGGGGCAGGACGTGGCCTCTCGGCATGGGCCGTTCCACTGGCGTAGGTCTTGTCTAATGCAAGACCTGGCTCGATGAGGCAACGGCCTGGGCTGTAGTCTGTGCGCATTTGTCTCGTTCTTCCAGGATGGAGTTTCGGTTAGTTTTCGAGTGCCCAACGTACTGGGTACCGGAAGCCTGTTTGAACTTCCCCGGAAGCTTGATGGAGATTGGTGGTTGCCACTGGCAAGGGCTCCTCCGCGCAGGTGAAGACCAAGGGATGGAACTCTCGCGGTTAACGTCATCGTGAGGCGTCCGCAGGCAAACCACAATCGGTCTCGTTAGGTGAACTCCGACTGGTCGATTGCTCGGAGAGAGAAGCGACCACCCCAAACCACCCTACTACGAGCCTTATCGGTCATCGTCGGTGGAACCGAAACCAAGTCTTACCTCTCACCGCAACTGAGGCCGGGGATCTTGTACGCGCTTCCCTATACATGGTCTTGGGCATGAGGCTCGTCGAATCGGCATAGACAACCAATTGGATGCGTGCCGTTGTCTCGTGAAGCTAGTTCCTCGGCAGCGTTATTTCCAGGGCCACAGCGAGATCGACGCGTCTATAATTTCTCAGATTTGAGGCCATGGGACTTCGTGTGACTGCAGGCTGCTCGTTTGGGAGCATCGGTCAGGATTGCGCTGGACGAAGAGCTGCGGTGGGCATGGTCTCAAGAGCCCCCGACACCCATAAGTAGTCTCGACACTCAGCCGGAAACTCGACTGTCGCTTTTTCTCGAACTGGCAATCAGAACCGAACCATTATTCTGGGAAATACTCCATATCTGATTCCAGCTCGGGCTACCAACATAGATTACACAGCCCTGTGTCAACATCCTGAACAATGTCAACCTCGCAAGCTTCGGTCGTAGTCAATGGCAATTCCACAGAGAGGTTGGCACATGCAGCTTCAATTAGCTTAACGTAAAATTGCGTTCTGACCTTTTTGAACAGACCCATGTCGGACCAGCAAGCTCAAGCCGCGGAGACACAGACTTGTGTTGCCAATTACCTGGCCGAGCATCGCGACCTCTACGAACGGCTGCATGCCAAAAAGAAGGAGCACGATAGAGTCAAAGGGCACAGATCCCGTGCGAGCGATGCATCCCAGAAAGCCGATGACAAGCTTCAGAATAAAAACAAACGATGATTATCGACGTTACGTAGTGCTGAGGTTCTCCGCGTCGCCTATCTAGGCCTGCATCGTCGCGAAAGCCACGGTGTTCGTACGACTGTGTTGTTCTTTGGTGCCAGATCAGAGAAGGAAACTTTTATGAGCTGTAAAGGAAAGTGGAGAAAAACATGAATGTCTGAGGAGGGTTCAAGGTTGACGACAGGAAGGAGCGACAATGGTGTTCAAGGGCAGGTGGCCAGGTCAAGAGAGTGGTTTCCTTCACTACTGAGATTAGTTTTCACGGGGGGGGGGGGCGGGGGGCGCTTCAGGGCTCAAAAAGGATGTTCTTTAAGGGCAAAAAGAGACGGGAGCTTGACTGATGAAAGCCAAGATTCGTGGAATCTTGGTGTGAAGACCATGATCAAGCAGGAAAGAATGTCCTTGGACAGAGTTTATTGCCTGTATCCAGAGAGATTCATAGTGGTTCCTTGCTCGGCAAGATCAAACAGACATGGTCAGCAATCTGAATGTCACAGGGAGGCGGCGCATTGCTACATTCTGCAGTATCTGTTCTCATTCGCGTGTTTACTACGTGTCGTAGAGCGCAATTGTCGTAGAGGATAGTTTATTGGTGGTTGTTGATTCTCTTGAGGCTGGCAAGTCCGGGCTGGCGTTAATTATGCCGCAGCAAACTGGGCCTCGTGAAGTATCAAGTTTCACTTCGGTCAATTTTGCTGGAAAACACACTCATTGGAACCAAGGACTTCAATAAAATTCACTCAGCTACTCTGCCTAAGTGACTCAATAACTCGGTGAACCCGATTGAGACCCCAAGCTGATGCGGGAAACTCGGGAACACCCCACCCCCCTCACCATACCTCGCACCCCTGCTCTCGCAGGTGCAGACGCTGGCCAGATCCTGCGGACACTTGTGCCAAGTTTTGACAAGGATAATAATGGCATTCATTCCTCGTGCTAGGTATGCAGCAGCATTTGCTGAACAGGCTGTGATCTATGCACCCCTCTGCAAAATGCCACCCCGTTCCGAATGATCGAGTTCCAACTCCAAGTGCGTATTAATAACTACTGCCCTGTCCGGCTCAGTGAAAAAAGATGGCTTCGATCGTCTCTCTAAGTTCGAGACCGGTCCCGTATCCAAAATGCGCATGCTTGGCTCTCCAGCGGCGGTCCACATACCCGTTCTGGCTGCCGACGGAATGCGACAAATCTGTTGACTCGAATGCACCGAGACTTCTAGACGTTTAACTCAACCTGAATGGTTTGAAGCGTGTTTCCACGGTTAACTTGTCGCCGACACGATGTGATGGAAGCTCCAAGTCGCGCCGAAAGGGCTGCTTCGCTTGGGATACTGCACGGGACGTTGGAAATGGAGGGGATCTGTATCTACGCACTTGCACACCAAGTGTTGGCTCGATGGAATGTCTTCGGTACGATCCTATGTTGATGAGTAAATAGGCAAAGGGGGTTTATGGCCTGCAAGTCTAGTGGCCAGTCTTGTTCTCACCTCCATTTGTTCTCGAGGTCAATCAAAAGGCACGGTTATGTCATCTATATCCATACTCTAGCCATCTCGCGACTCGGCGTATTGTTCCACTGTTAGGGTGCCGAGTTGTAGTATCTTTGAGACGGGCTGGAAGTCACATTGAATCTGTCAACGGCGCAAGAAAATATGCGCTTGTCAGTCGTAGGAATATACGCAAAACCAGACAACTGGTGAGTTCTGATACAGACTTGAGAATAAGAAACGTTGTTCTCCAACCACAAGGTTTGATAAACCAAGCCCAACGTGTTTGAGGCACTGACTAAATTTTACATGTACTCCCCTCTAACATGGATTGAACACAGTCTCCATTAACCGTTCATAGACTCCTAACAAAACCCACGGACGGTGCTTTCCTAAGAAGTTCTCACGAACCCGCCACAACACCCGGATGATAACATAGATGGCTCTGCTGCACATCCATTCGAGCGCCTGCCTCCAGTATCTCCATGAGCCCCTTAAACAAAAGTCTCAGCCAGCTGTGATTTCGGCTATTTTTATTGTTCACATATCGTTTCTGGGCTCTAACCCCTTCCGGCAACGCACTTCGAACACATGATAAGCAATCAGGGCCGTGTTGTTCACATCATAGCCACCC